CCACAGCACACACACCACAGCACACACACACCACAGCACACATGGCACATACCACAGCACACACAGACCACACTACAGCACACACCACAGCACACATACCACAGCACACACGGCACACAGCACAGCACAGCACACACACACGCACAGCACAGCACACATCACAGCACACACACACCACAGTACATACAGACCACAGAACACACAGCACACACCACAGCTCACACAGACCACACCACAGCACAGCACAGACAGCACACACCACAGCACACACACACCACAGCACACACACCACAGCACACACGACACACACCACAGCAACACAGACCACACCACAGCACAGCACATACCACAGCACAGCATCTGTTCTTGTTCAGTGCCCACCCCTGGTCAATGCCACCCCCATCAGCACCTGTCCCTGCTCAGCACTCGTGCCATGGTCAGTGCCTGTTGGAGTCATGCAGGAAGGAGAACCGCCCCACCTCCCCCACCAGCACAGGTGCCAGCATGCAGGCCAGGGGCTGCTCTGGCCTGGTAAGGCTGACGGTGGGGCCAGGCAGGCGGCCTGGCTGCTCTGTCTTGTAGGAGGGCCCCTGCAGGCAGTGGCTCCAGGGCAGGGCTGTGGAATTAGGGCAGTGAATGCAGCTCCAGGGACCAGCAGCTGCTCCTGCATGGAGGTGGCGCCCTCTGCTGGCAGAGTGGACATGGGGCTCAGGCCAGCTGCTTCTCCAGCGGCTCCCAGGACTCAGGGCAAGAATGGAGCCACGTGCCCTGATCCAGAGCCCTCACTGGTGGGAGACGCAGCCAGAGTGCCCGGGATCTGTCACGGGTGCCCAGTGCTCCCCATTGCCTGTCTAGTTCCTGCACCCCAGCCACTGCCCGCTGCATGTGCCCTGGGAAGGTGGAGGCATGAGAGTAAGGAGAGGTGCTGGTCCCACCCTCAGGGTGATGTGGCTCAGGTGAGCCTTCATGACAGCTTCAGTGGCTGCATCTGCACCCTGGACACTGCCAGCAGCTCCCGCTGGGAAGTGGGGGGCTCCTTCCCGCGTCTCAGTGGTCTTACCCTCCTGTCCTAGGCACCGGGCCCCAGTCCTACCTGCTGCTTTCCAAGGATGTAGAAAGACACCAAGGGGGATCTGGGCAGGCAAGAGCTGAGAGCTGGGCCCACCAGCCCACTGAGGCCACCAGCCCCACTGAGGCCACCAGCCCCACTGAGACCACCAGTCCTCTGAGGCCACCAGCTCACCTAGGCCACCAGCTCACCTAGGCCACCAGCCTGCCCCGTGGCCACCAGACCGCCCCATGGCCACCAGCCCCTAGGCCACCAGCCCCACCGAGACCACCAGCTCACCTAGGCCACCAGCTCACCTAGGCCACCAGCCTGCCCCGTGGCCACCAGACCGCCCCATGGCCACCAGCCCCTAGGCCACCAGCCTCACCTAGGCCACCAGCCCCACCCACCTACCCACCCACCCTGCGGGCCGCCAGCCCGCACCACAACAGCATCTCCAGTCCTCACAGTGAAGCTCAGCAGGAACCAGCAATGTAAGGAAATGAAAGCGTTCAGAACCCTGGGTGCGGGAGCTGTTCTCTGGAAGCCAGACCCTACAGGACCCCATGTGCCCTTGCCTGGGGCAGCCGCTCTGGGTACAATGTGGAAGAACCAGCAGGGGTGTGTGTGCAGAACAGGAGGCAGGGTTGCGTGTGTGTGTGTGTGTGCGCGTGCAGGAGGCATGGTTGTGTGCACGTGGGTGACGTGAAATAGGTGCTAGACTATAGCTGGACCATGGCCATGTAGTTCTGCACAATGATCAGCAGAGGGCACACTTTCAACAGTGATCTGCAGAATGCCCCCAGGAGGAACAGGCCTGTGAGCTGAACAGCATGGCCAGGGTGCTGGGCAGCGTGGCCTGGGAGCTGGGCAGCGTGGCCTGTGAGCTGGGCAGCGTGGCCTGTGAGCTGGGCAGCGTGGCCTGGGAGCTGGGCAACGTGGCCTGGGAGCTGGGCAGTGTGGCCGGAGTGCTGGGCAGCGTGGCCTGTGAGCTGGGCAGCGTGGCCTGGGAGCTGGGCAGTGTGGCCTGGGAGCTGGGCAGTGTGGCCTGGGAGCTGGGCAGTGTGGCCTGGGAGCTGGGCAACGTGGCCTGGGAGCTGGGCAGTGTGGCCGGAGTGCTGGGCAGCGTGGCCTGTGAGCTGGGCAGCGTGGCATGGGAGCTGGGCAGTGTGGCCGGAGTGCTGGGCAGCGTGGCCTGTGAGCTGGGCAGCGTGGCATGGGAGCTGGGCAGTGTGGCCTGGGAGCTGGGCAACGTGGCCTGGGAGCTGGGCAGTGTGGCCGGAGTGCTGGGCAGCGTGGCCTGTGAGCTGGGCAGCGAGGCATGGGAGCTGGGCAGTGTGGCCGGAGTGCTGGGCAGCGTGGCCTGTGAGCTGGGCAGCGTGGCATGGGAGCTGGGCAGTGTGGCCAGGATGCTGGGCAGTGTGCTTGGCTGCTGGGCAGCGTGGCCTGGGTGCTTCTGGGGTGGACATGGACCCACACCGCTGAGCTTTGCTGGCCACTCCCAGGCCACTTCTGGGGCTCAGGCAGCTATGGCCGCCACAGCCAGGTCCAGAGGCTTGGCCTCTGCACCTGCACTCCTCATTCTCAAGAGGAGACAGGCATTCAGAGTTTCTCTTTCTTGTTTTTAAAGGAGGCTCTTCCGGGTCCCCCACAGGGTGCAGGAGTCTGCTGCTCTCCCAGGCATGTTGGGGGCGGATGAGGAGTGGAGCAGCTTGGGCCTCCATGTCAGCGGTCAGCACTGTGGCTGGGCACACTGAGTGCCACCCCGCTGAGTAACGTTGGCTCAGCACACACACCTGCACAAGGAAACGGATCTTCCTGGGAGAGCCCAACCTGGCTGTTGGCTCCGGCTCCACGGGGCTGGGGACAGGCTGCCCAGTGCTGCCCTCCCGGCCCAGCAGGATCAGCTCCCACAGGGCTGGCCGGGCACTCCTGCCAAAGGTAGCCCTGGGGAGGGGTCATCTGAGGAGCTGAGGTGACAGCTGGCAGCAGGGGTGCGGCCATGCAGCCGAGACAGTAGCAGGCTGCTCCAGGAAGATCACACACCCCCCCACAGTCACACGGGCTCATGCAACACAGTGCTCCCACCCATGCATGGGGGGACCCACCCTCTGCAGCCCAGGGAGGGCTGGCTGTGTGGTCCTGATCTGTCTGAGCTCTGTCACTGCCATGTTCACGGAGCCTCTGCCACCGCCACCTGGCTGGTTTCAAGCTTGTGCCTGGGAGCCAGTCAGGCCCCAGCCCCCCAGCCCCACAGCCCCCCAGAGCTCCTCCAGCCCTGCCCTGCGGTTCCCGGCCCTACCCCCACGACCCAGAGCAGGGCTGGGGTTAGGGATAAATCCCAGGCTGGGGGAGGGGACAGGCTGGTTGCAGCCCTGGCAGACCCTGCTCCGAACGAAGCCTCTGACAAGCAGGAAAAGGAAGTTGGGCTCGGGTGGGGCTCTGCGCCTTCCTGCCGCTGGGGTAGCAATGGTTCCAGACGCTTCTTCAGCTCCTTGGGCACAGCGAGCAGATGGCGCCCCCACCCCAGGCCAAGAATGGGTGCCCTATAGCTCCTCCCAGTGTCCACAGGGGCTGGGCAGGCGAAAGCGGAAGGCAGCTGGGCCTGGGGCAGGCTGGCCATAGCCTTGGCACCAGCTGACTGCCTGCTGCCAGCAGGGCTGCTTCCTAAAGCATAGGACCCAGCCTACAGGAGGGGGGCAGCGTCGGGTCAGGCACCTGTCCCTGCTGGCCCAGTCGGGCTGAAAGTGACCAACACAGATGGCCCAGCCCTGGCTCCCTCCCCAAGCCAGCTCCACAGCAGAGCAGGACAGCGGGTCGTGTGCAGTCTGGAGGAGGGAGGGGTCGTGCAGCACAGTTCAAGACTGTGGCCAGCAGCTGAAGCCCTGGAGGCCAGGTCAGCACCAGCCCCCAGAGCAGACGGCTGGGGCGGGCCGGCTCCGAGCAGACAGCACCCAGGAGAGACAGGCCCCAGGTCTGGCTGCCCCGAGCCCTGCCCTGCACGTCTCCACCCTGTGGTCACCTTAGGACCGGGGAAACCAACCAGGCTGTAGGCAGTGAGCCCTGCAGGATCCCCTTTGTGGGGGCCCCGTGTGGATAAACGGGGGTGAAGACTGGCAGCAAGTCGTGCCCAGCAGCCCGCCTATGTGGAGCTGCAGCTGGGCACAGTGCCCAAGGAAGAGCAGAATGCAGGCAGAAATGCCAGGCTCCTGGCCAGCCTGAGGGGACACCGGCCACCGCTCCCGGGAGCCGCTGTGTAGAGGCCCCTTCGGGACGGGGCTGGTGTCGCCAGGACCCCGCCTGCACGTCAGTCGGGGAGTGTCCGGTGCTTGGCCTGGGGACTGACCTGCCTCCTCTGGGTGTGTGAGCACAAGCTCCACCCAGACATGAGCTGCCAGACACAGCCGCCAGGACCGCGGCAGATGTGTGGCCGCACCTGACTGCCCTGGACAGAACCCTGGGGGATCTCTCGCCAGGGCTCACGTGGCAGGACCAGAGGGGAGGGAAGGGCTTGAAGACCCACCCCGAGCAGATGAGGCCCCTTCCCAGGAAGCCGCTGCCAGTGACCAGCCGAGAAATGTACTAGGCCCTGGGCCCCTCCTCCTAATGACCCCTCCCCCCTGCTACCCACAGGCCCCTCCCTCCTGACCCCTGACCCTGTCACCCACAGGCCCCTCCCTCCTGACCCCTGACCCTGTCACCCACAGACCCTGGATTCCTACCCCCACAGGCCCTACTCCCCCCACCCTGTCACCCACAAGCCCCTCCCTCCTGACCCCTGACCCTGTCACCCACAGGCCCCTCCCTCCTGACCCTGTCACCCACAAGCCCCTCCCTCCTGACCCTGTCACCCACAAGCCCCTCCCTCCTGACCCTGTCACCCACAAGCCCCTCCCTCCTGACCCTGTCACCCACAGGCCCCTCCCCCTGACCACGTCACCCACAGGCCCCTTCCTCCTGACCCCTGACCCTGACCCCCACAGGCCCTGAGTCCAGCCTCCTCATGGCTGCACTTTTTACTCTTCTACATCAGAGCAAAGAAAGCCAGGGTCACTTCCGTTTTCTCTGTCTGGTCTTTAAAGTGACAAACTGGAGGGCACTATGCTGTCAGGAAGAGGCCCCACCTTGCGCAGCGTGCTGCTAGGCTCCTGCAGTAGCATCTCAGGCACAGGGGCCTGACTCCGTGGCCATGGGGAGCAGGGTAGTGGCCCCCAGTTCTCAATGGCGGCGAGCTACCCGAGGGCCTGGGAAGGGGGTCCCAAACATGCAGCTTGATTTTCTGAAGCCTGAGGGGAGGCCCAGGCAGAGCATCCGGCCTCGCCCAGGGGCACGCTCCATGGCTGGGCACAGCCGCTTGCGGGGTAACTGGACATGCTGGGGTGGCTGCCCTGAGCCTGTCAGGGTGCTGTAGCAGCTTCCCCCACTGGAGGAAGGGGCCTTCAGACAAGTCTCTGCCCTGTCCACCCAGGCTGCTGCCCAGGGGTGAGCCAGGACTCAACCGAGCAGTCGCATTCCTCATCGCCAGCGCTGACCTGGGGGAAAGAGAACGGAGGTTGCAGTGGGTTCAGCTGGGGTACAGTTCCACACCACACTGGGGTCCTCCGAGGTGCTTCCTTCAGGCTGTGGGGGTGGTGGCGGAACCCCAGGTCCTGAAGGGCACAAGGTTCAGCAGTGGGAGTGCCCAGGGCAGGCGCTTGGCACACACGTGGTGTCGGTGCATAGGGCCCGATGCGATATCCTCCGGCGCCCCTCAGCATCTGTGCCTGAAGACAGAGAGGTGGCGCAGGCTCCAGGACACGGCACAGCCCACAGATGGCCACCATGAGGGGACAAATGGCCCCATGTACAGCCCCCTGGCGGGAGGGGGCAGACACAGCAGAGCCTTCAAGCGCTGGGAGACCAGGTGACCAGGCTGCAGAGAGCATGAGCTGGGTGAGGATGAGATATGTCCACAGTGCCCAGGAGCAGGCAATGGTCAGGGACACCACCGGGAGCCTGGGGGACAGGGCATCGCAGGAAATGGATGCCAGAAGGTTCCCTGGATCACAGGTGCCAGGAGGTGCTGGGGCTGGGCTCCGGAACCTGGTCCCTTGCCTGGCCTAAGTCCATGGGTCCTGAGGGCAGCAGGTTCCGGCACACAGGGCCTGAGCTGCCCGACGCTGGCACAGCTGACAGGGTCAGATCTCCTGCCCAGGGCTGCTCAGTGGGACCGCCGGACCCGGACAGCGACCTAGTGAGCGTGGGGTTCTTGTGCAGGTCACAGGCCTGGCTATGGGTGTGTTGCTTGACCCCCAGATCCCGAGGGGCCCTGGCAACCAGATGCTGGAAAGGGCACCAGTCAGGCCTCATGGGGGAGCGTGGGGTCCTCCTGGCATGTCAGTGCACAGCCCCACCTTCTGCCCTGTTGCATGTGCCCTGTCCACATGTGTGTGCCCATCTCTGCTCTGCCATGTGAACACATGGCCCCAACTGCGGTCCCATCACTGTGCCCCTAACTCTACACGTGTGTGCCCTCTAAACCCGACCCCAGCAGCTCAGCAGACCCTATTTGCAAGGACCCAGTGTCCCAGCCACCGTCAAGCTCATCTCTGCTAGCACAATCACTCAGATGTGTTTCCCAGTGCATGCCTGTCACACTGTAAGGACTCCACAGCCCCCGGGCCTCAGGCTCCTAAGGTGTTCGAGGGGTAGGGGCCACCCCCATGGAGCGCAGTGCTTGTCTCTGGAGCCTGAAGTGGGGAGTCCAGTAGTTGGGAACCCTCTCAGGTCCCCCCCAGGGCTGAGGCAGGTCAGGACAAGCAGTCCCTGGGGGCAGCTGGGGAGGCAGGCACCCCAGAGCTGTCCCTCCCAGAAGTGAGTCCCAAGACCCAGAAGTGGATGAAAACCGCCCAGGCCCCTTGCTTGGGGGTGGGGATGGGTGAGGAGGTGAGGGCAGACAGGGGCAGCGTCATGGCAGAGCACAGGACGATGCCTCCTGCAGTGCTAGCATCTCCTGTGGGCACCAGTTCAAGTCCCATTCCAGCTCTCTGGCAATGGCCTGGGAAAAGCACTGAAGAAGCATGGGCCCCTGCACCCACGTGGGAGACCTGGCTGAAGCCCCTGGCACTGGCCCACCCAGGGCCAGCCCCTGTGACCACCGGAGGAGCGAGACATCGAATGGAAGATCTTTCTTTCCCTCACTGTGTAACTCCACTTCATTCATAAATAAATAAACAGTAAAGCAACATGCCCAGCAGTGTCCCACGTGCCTGCCTTCCCCGAAGAGAAGTGCAGACCACAGTGGGCGAGAGCCGTGTGCCTTGACGCTGGCCCTGCATCCTCGGAGACCTGCCGGCTGGGGGGCCACCCAGCCTGGAGCTCCAGACCTCAGAGCTGCCCTTTCCACCTCACGATCCCTCCTCAGCCCCGGAAGCCAGCAGCTCACATCCTCCAGGGAGCTGCCTGGGGCCCATGAGGGTGCAGGATGGCCACTCCCCAGGGGGCTCGGCACCTGCACTGCTAAGAGTCGACATGGGGAGGAAGGACGGTAGGAGGCCCTGACACCTGCACAAGGGAGTTTTCCAAAGGAGCAATCCCTGAGTGCTTCTGTTTCCAGTCCAGCAACACAGCGTAGCCAGGAGAGCAAGCAGTCCCCAAGGGCCACAGTGAGCAGCCAGGTGGCTGGCCACAGAAGCAATGCAGCACCCAGTTCTGTCAGTGACCAAGGCCGACAAGCAACCAAGAAGCAGTAGCTAACCCAGGAGCTGCGGGCAGCAGCGGCCAAGCCAGGGCCAGGGGGCAGCGGCCAAGCCAGGGCCCGGGATCAGCCAGCCAGGCCAGGGCCTGGGGGCAGCGACCAGGCCAGGACCTGGGGGCAGTGACCAGGCCTGGGCCTTCGGGCCCCGTGGAAGACCTGTGGCTGAGCCAGCCTACACCAGCCAACGAGCTGTTGTGGGGATGGTGTGAGCAGGAGACAGTTAATGCATCTATGGCCTGTAGGAGAGCAAGGTGGTGGCTGCCTGCAGAGAGCCGGCCTGAGGACGCCAGCTCAGGGCAGGCCTAGCAGCGGCTCCTGCCCACCTGACGTGCTCCACCCAGTCCACCAGACGCCCAACCTGCAGGCAGCCAGGGTCTTCCCATGTGGGGGAGGGGGCACCACAGTGCAACTGGGTGAATGTGACAGAGAATGGGCTGGCACAGCCCTGGCTCCAAGCCCATGAGCCTCTGGCCACCAGGAGCAGAGGGGCGCTGAGCCCACAGGGGCCACAGTCTGACCACAACCCTGAGATGTGGGCTCAGTCTCCTCGTCTGGAGCTCCCCACTCCTCCCTGCCTTGGGTAGTGAGACCAAGAGAATGGGCTGCCCTGGGGGACATCAGGGAAGCTGGACGCACGGCTGGGAACCATAGCTTGGGGTAGTGGAGGAAGGAGGAGCCCCAGGGAGGAGCGAGGAGCCAGCGCCACCTGCGCACTCTCCAGCAGCCCATGCTCCCTCCAGGCAGTCTTCCTGGATCCCAGGTGGAAGGCTTCCATCAGCCACTGTCCTCCTGGGTTCCCTCCCCTCGTGCGGCCTTGGGCATGGGTGGCACCTTTAGTCCTCAGCACCTGGGCAAGGGCCCTGGGATCTGCCCTCTCTCTAGCTGCCAGACAGCACAGGGTCTAGTCAGGACTTCGGGGTTGGGGGCACAGCAGGGCCCTGGTGCTCCACTCACCACCTGGGGGAGCTGCATTGCTCCTGGTGCTGTCAGGGTGGGGGGGGCAGAGATGGATAGACAGGACCTGTACTGGAGGGAGCTGGGCCAGGACCAGTGTGGACCCAGACCGTTCTGCCCCTGCTGGCCCTGGACCAGTGTGGACCCGGGCCGTTCTGCCCCGCCGGCCTAGGACCAGTGTGGACCCAGACCGTTCTGCCCCTGCCGGCCCAGGACCAGTATGGACCCAGGCCGTTCTGCCCCTGCTGGCCCTGGCCTCCCACCTGCCAGTAGCCAAGTGGCACCACAGGAAGCCAGAGGGGCTCGTCCACACTCAGGGACCCCAGGATCCTGGCATGCATAGCACCTGCTGTAGCCCTCCTGGGAGCTGGGGATCAAGGACCTTCAGAGAGTAAGCACCTCAGTGGACTGGGTGCCCTGACCACCTTGGTGGGTGCCATGTCCAGTGAGTGCTGCTTCCTGGGGTGGCCCCTGCTGCCTGTGCCCAGACTGTTGCCTCAGGATCAGTGTGGTGTCCGCAGGGAACCCCGCTCAGCTGGGCCTTGGGTCATCCACCTGCCAGCAATCCTGCCTTGTGTGGGCACCACCCACCTGCGGGGGCCAGGGGCCACCTCCCCTCCCCACGTGGTCCCTGGGACCCAGGATGGCAGGCCCCCAGGAATCCCCAAACTGATCGCTCCAGGGAACCCATCCCAGCCAGAGCTGTCTGGTCAGCTTCTTCATTCCTCAGGAAACAAATCCCAAAGCTAGCTAGAATCAGCCACTCCAGCACCCCCACCAGGGCCATGTCTGTGTGGGACGCCGCCCCACAGTCAAGCCACGGCCTGCCCGTCTGGCATAGCTCTGTGCAGGCAAACCTGTCTGGTGAGATTCCTCCCCCACTTCCGGATAAACGTGGCCAGCCCAGCCTGGGGCCACAAGGCCACCAAGCCTGGAGACTCAGCAGCCCTAAACCCCAAGCCACAGTGTGAGGCCTGAGCCCCATGTCAAGTAGGAGGGGTGGCAGCTGGGCACACAACAGCCTGAGGGCCGGCCCAGCCAGGCCATGGCCGGAGACCCCAAAACCTCTCTAAGCACCCCCACCCCAGACAGCTGCAACCAGTCCTGAGCAAACGGCCTGTGCTGGGCACTCAGGCCCAGGGCAATCCTCCCTGCTTCTTCTTCTCTCCTGGGACCCCCTCCCCCGGACCTCTCCAGCCAAACACCAGCCAGCCCAGCCCGAGCCTGAAGCAGGAAGCTGCAGCCGGGCCGCAAGGTCACCAGAGGTCACCATGGCCAAGGCAGGTGACAAGCTGGGGGTGGACGAGCAGCCCAGCACAGAGGCGCCCCCTGCCCCACGGCCCCAACCACCTTCCTGGGGGAGGCTTGGACACCGGGCAGCTGAGCACCTGCATAAGTGGCTGCAAACCACTGGGGACAAAGCCACTGCCATGGTCCAGATCGGCCACACTCACCTGGCCTGGGGTGCCTGGGCTACGTCTCAAACTGGGTCAGCAGCTCCCGTATTTCAGGGGCCATGTGCTGCCCGGCCGCGTTGGCAGCCTCAGCGATGGCTTTCCGGTACATCCCCTTCTTCTTCCGGTTGAACCTCAGTTTGAAGAACTCGGAGAAGGGGGAGAGCTTGGAGACAGACAGGAGGGACGTTGTCGGAGACCCGAACCACGAGACCTTGGCTTCGCGCCAGAAGGGCTCTCCGTCTGCCTTCCGGCCAAGGCTGAGGTCCAGGACCCGTGCTGGCCACCAAGGGAAGCCGTGGATCTTGCCCCACACGATGTCCCCCACGGCCACCGTCCTCCCGTCGTCTGTGACGCACTTGGACACGCTCTGTGTGTGCAGCCTCACTGTCAGCGGTGGGACTGTGGGGTGGGTGGCCCCGTCACCCGACGAGATGTCCCCGGGGTCGGCCGAGGTTCCCTCTGAGCTGGACGACTTGGCCTCATCCAGGCTGTCGCCGCTGCAGTCCGTGGTGCCCGGCGGGCAGCCAACCAGGAAGGCCAGCCCCCCAGGGCGCCGGTCGTTGTGGGGGCGGCCCTGGCAATCCTCCTCTTCACCTGAGCTGACTGGTGACGGCGAGGGTGACAGGGAGGACAAGGTCCCCAGCCCGGGACCGGGGCCAGAGCAGTCCCCAGAGGCCCCCAGTGCCTCTACCAGCTCTGCTCGGTATAGCGGCCCACACGTGCCCGTCCCCTGGCGGGGCCTCAGCCGGATCTTGGGGGGTGGCAGGGCTGGGCTGGGCCGGGTCAACTTCAGCTTGGGGAGAGAAGCCAGGGGTCTGTCGGGTGGTCCATCCTTGTCGCCACCACCACCGTCCCGGGGTACCCATGGCGGGCAGAAGGGCTCCAGGGAGCCATGCACACGCGAGGGGATTTTGACGACCTCACCCTTGCCCTGGGGTGTGCTGTAGGAGATCCTGATGACAGGGCTGCGGGGGACCTGCCCTGCGGGGGTCCCGGGCCCCTCACGTCGCTCCCTCTTGCTCCTCCTCAGGGCCTGTGGCTCCTCGGGGTCCAGCCTCCTGCGGGCACGGGGGGCTGCCGGGGGGCTGGCACTGGCCTGCGGGGGGCTCACGGTGCTCTTGCACTTGCCACAGAGGACCTGGCGCGGCCGCAATCGTATGGTGCTGAGGATGAGCCTGCCGGGGTCCCGGGCACGAGACAGCCGCCGCCGCGTGCGCTTGATGCTTCGGGGTGGGGGCTGTGGCACCCACTGCTGGTAGGAGCTCCGTAGCCACAGCGGGTGAGGGAACGGGGCGCCCTCAAAGTATGGCAGGGGCAGGGGTGGCTCAGGGCTAGCGGTCGCCGGGTGAGGCGGGGGTTTGGTACCTGGCTGTAGCCCCTGGCAGGGCCCCTCCTCAGGGGCCTGGTCATGGCAAAGGCTGGCAGGGGGCTTGTCGGCCAAAGGTGGAGGGGTCCACGAGGGCAGGCCGAAGAGCCCAGACCTGGTGGGGGGAGATGGAAAGGGACAGTGAGGGTGGGAAGTGACCCAGCCCACCCCCCCCGCCCCAGCCTAGAGAGACATCCAGGACCTAGAGCAGGGGCTGGTCCTGGGTACAGCCTCACACCTGGCCCACCTGGCCAGGGGCCAACCATGGGGGGCTTCGTATGAGCTGACCAGCTGCAGGGCCACAGACCTGGCACAGCCACACCTCCTTCCTGGGGCTGCCGCCCCGCCCTGGCCATGCCCACCGCTCACCAGGAGTGTGGAGATACACAGCAGAGCAGTCACCCCAGCACTGGGCACTGCCAGGGCCAATAACAGTGGCCAGGCCACTGAGACCGTGCCTTCAGTTGTGGCTCCGACACCCTATGGCCATGTCCCTGGAAGAGGGGCAGACCACGGGGGCTTCTGCCCCAAGCCCAGAGGGTCCTGGTGAGGCAGGGATGTCCCTTGGGCATGGAGACAGGTCCGCACGCCACTGCCCTGGGAGAACCCTAGCACTCTGCTTGGTCCTGGGTCACATGTGGAACATGGTGTTGTGGGCCGGGGTCAAAGCTGCCGCCTGCAATGCGGGCATCCAACATGGGTGCTGGTTTAAGTCCTGGCTGCTCCACCTGGATCCCGCTCCCTGCTAACGGCCTTGGAGGGCAGTGTAGGACAGTCCGAGTGCTTGGGTCCCTGCGCCCACGTGGCACAGCTGGAGGAAGCTCCCGGTCTTGGGGTTGGCCTAGGCTGGCCCTGCTTGTTGCAGCCATTTGAGTAGCAAGCCAACAGATGGGAAGATCTCTGTTTCTCCCCTTCTCTGTCACCCTACCTTTCAAATAAATAAATTCTTTAAGACATGAAACAAAACCACGGAACACATGACGCCACCTACGGCTGCCCAGGAGGCCCTGGCCATGCCTGGCCCCAGCAGAAGAGGCCCCAGTGGCCCAAGGAGCTGCTGTCACGAGTCAGCGTGAGCCGGCCAGGGCTTACCCTGCTCTTGGGGACCCACGGCAGCCCAGCTCAAGGAGCTCCCAGGGCAGGACGAGCCACCCAGGGGGTTGCAGTGGGGGCCAGGCCCTGAGCAGCACAGCAGGAGCAAGGCTCAACTTCTCCATATCCTCAGGTCCCGGCCTGGCTACCATCCCGGGCAGCCCAGTTTCCCTGATTCACAGCCTGAGGGCTATTGGTCCATGGTGGCAGCCACCTGTCCCCTGCCCTACTCCACATCTACCCTAGGCCCCCTTCCCACCCTCTGCTGCCCAGAAGGGGATAAGGCAGCAGTTCCTGGAACATGGGGCAGCCTGGGGTGCAGGACCACCATCCCTTTTATCAGCCACGAGGGTGCATGTGCCGTGCACCAGACGTCTACCCTTGCACTCGGGGGACCCCAGGCCTCCCCAGCATAGTGGGCAGAGGCTGCCGGCCAGTCCTCCCCGAACCGCCTTCACCACCTGGCAGGCAGGCCCCTGACATGGCCCTCGCTCAGGTGCCATCCCTTGTAGCTATCCGGTCCAACCCCGCAGCCAGCGCCCTGTGGGCCAGCCTATGCAGCAGCAGGCAGCCCTGTCCCCCCTGGTCACTGTGGCTTCCCTGTGGCCTGGCAGGCCTGATCCTTCTTGTATCTGGGTCCAGGGTTTGGCTGGCCAGGGGAGCTCAGGCAATTTGCAACTGGGCAAGGTGGGGGGTCCTGGATCCACAGCTCTCAGGCCACCCCTCTGCAGGGCAACCCCAGTGAGGAACCACAAAACTAGGCCCTCCTACATCTCTGTCCTGAGGCATGGCAGCCTGCCACCCCCAGGGTCCAGGGTCACAGCCACCAATGCCGCAGCCCCTGTAAGGAGGCCAGCAGGAGGCAGTGTGGACAGTGGTGGGCACTGTGACAGTGGTGGGCAGTGTGGACAGAGGGGGCAGTGTGGGCATGGGAGGCAGCATGGACAGAGGGGAGCAGTGTGGACAATGGTGGGCAGCATGCCTGACTCAGCCCATGAGTCCGCACAACCCTGGCCACGCCATCGCACTGTGGCACAGGGGCAGTGTGGCTGCTGCCGCCAGGTACTCGGCCTAGGGCCCGGGGCCCTTTCAGACGGTGGGGGGTGAGGCAGGAGCCCCCTGCTCCCAACACTGGCCTCACGCTGACCCTGCCACCTGTACTCCGGCATCGGGGACCACACACTGTCTGCCCAGCTATTAGGGAGAGCTGGGGGCTGCCAAAGCCACAGCAGCTCGGTGACCTGTGACCTGCGTGCAACTTCACCACTCCTCCCCGTCTGTCGGCACCTGCAGCCATGGCAGCTGGGGCACCAAGAAAAAATGGCCTCCAGGGAGGGCAGGTGGGCACCTGGACCTGGTAACAGCCTGGTTGCTGGGCAAGTGCCCGTCCCGTCCTGCCCACGTCAGGGCTGTAGCATGAGCATCGTGGGCAGACACCAGGGGCCACGCCCAGTGGGCAGCAGGATGAGCACATGCCTGATGGAGGGGAGAGGGCAGGTGCAGGGCAGACCCTCCACGAGGACCTGGGTGTCTGCAGAGCCGGCTGTGGCTCTCTGGGCAGCTCTAGTTACAGCGGAACATGGCTATGACCGGACAGAGGCCAGAGTCCTGCACCTGCCAGGGACCCAAGCAGGCCTGCAGCTTTCCACCACGCAGGGGAGGGGTGTGGCCCTGCACACCAGCTTGGTGTGGCCTCTGCAGACTCCGGCCACAGGGAGCTCGGGAAACAGGCCGTCAGCTTAGGAGCCTGCTCTGCAGCCACCTGAGGAAGGCAGGGTCTGCAGGAAGAGCCCCCCTCCAGCAGACACTCCAGAACAGCCCAGCCTGGCAAGGCCCACAGGAGGCCATATGTTATATCACATGACTTGTGCATAAATGGCTTCTGGCACTGGGGAGGGAGGACGGCAGGGCAACTCATTGCCGGCCAGCACCTTAGACCTCAGGGCTGGGGCGGAAAGTTGGGTGTCAGAGAGGGAAAGGGCGCTCATCCACCAGTCTGCCGCAATTCAGGGTGAGAGGCAGCGTGGCCCACCGCCCCCAAAGATCTCTGCTGTCTCACTCCAGGCGCTGGGCCTGGGGCACGGCGGGGTGGGGTGGGGTATCCTTTGCTGAGGGAGTCCCTGCGGGTGCACAGATGCGGCGCGCCTGCGGAGCCGGTTCCCGCAACTTGGGTCTGTGCTGCAACGCTGGGCTTCTGGGGGAGCCGACTTCGCCAGCCCCACGCCAGCCAGGGCAAGTCCCCTGAGCACCTGCCCTGCGCTCGGGGGGCTCCTGCGGGAGCCGCGGGCTCCACCGTGCCTCCGAACAAAGAGAGCGGGTCCGGGTGCGAACGCGCAGTTAGGGGTCCCGACCCCACGCCCCCCAGCCCCCGGACGGTCCCCGCCGCTCTCCCGCCTGGAAAAGTCGCGGCGACTTCGGGAGCCACTCGGCGCCGGGCGGGCGGCCGTCCCCGCGCGCCCCGAGCCCCGGCCCGGCGGAAACCGAAAGCGGGCGGCGCCGCCCCGCCCCGCGCCGGTCCCGGTCTCGGGCGGGCGGGCGGGGCGCCCCGAGGGCGAGGGGTCCCGGTCCGCGCCCCGCTCACTTTTTGGTGCAGTCCAGCAGGACCCCGGCGAAACTGCGCCCGCCGCAGCTCGCCGTGACCAGCAGCGCCCCGTTGACGACCTGCTCCACGCGCGCCGGCAGCCGGCAGCCGGCCCGCGGCTCCATGTCCCGCTCCGCCGCGGCCAGCGCGTGACGCCGCCCGCCGTGACGTCACGGGGCGCGCGGCCCCTGTCCGGCCTGGCCGCCGGTGTCCTGCCCCGCGCCGCGCAGGCCCGGCCGCCACGGGCCCCGCGCGGAGCCGTCCCCGGGCGCGCGCAGGACGCGGAGGTGGCGCCCTGCGCGGGGGCGCACGCGGCCTCCCGGCGGAAGCCCCAGGTGCCCTTTGCGCATCCGACCCGTGCCCGGCCCCTGCCTCGCACCGGCACCCTGGGGCCCCCTGCCCGCCCGGGTGGGGCCTCACGCACCCGCAGCCCCAGGTCGTGTGGAGGCTGGGATTCCCGCAGACGCCGGGCCCCTCCTCGCCGGCCGCCCGGACTCCCCCCCCACAGCTGGGCAGAGTGGACCTCAGGAGCAGGAGTGCCCGGCCCTGGGCGGCCGCTGCCCACTCAAACCGCACGGGGACCTGTGCGTGCCCTCCATGGGTACCGGGCCCTCGTGGTGAATCTACTGCCGAGTGGAGGCCGCGTGGACCTAGCGTTTGGGGACGAGTTCGGGGGGAGCAGAGCTTGGGGTCGGCTAGAGGTGTGGGCGCCCACAGGAGCAGCTCTTCGGGGCTAGGGGGTGCAGGGCAGCCTGCACCCTGCTGCGGCTGTAGGAGCTGGCTGGGGCCCCCTGGGGCTCCTCCTCCCGCGCCACCTTCAGGCTCCTGGACGATGCTGTTTACCATCTCCATCCAGGTGCGGGTGCCCAGGTGCTGACCCTGTGTGTGCGGCAGAGCTGGGCCTGGTGGGTCCGGCTGGGCCTGTCCGCCAGCTGCCTGGCCCCAGGGAGGGGCCTGTTGGGAAAGCAGACTCCAGCCCTGAAGGGACTAGGTACAAATCCTGGCTCTGAAGCACACTGCCCCGACAGGCTCCACCGCTGCACCAGAGGCCCAGCACCACCAGTCAGCAGGGCCAGCGTGCGGGCAGAGGAGATGGCCGAGTCCGAACCCTCACCCCCTCACTGGGGCTGTCAGGGAGACCAGCACTGGGAGGTGGGGGGAGGGGCTGCAGGAGGAGACCATGCCTGCAGCCTGTCAGCTCCTCCTGGCCCTGGCCTCTGCCCGTCCTCCCGGACGCCCTGCGACCCCATCACCATCAGCTGCACAGCAGCTCACCATCTGTCCACGCTGTCCCTGGTCAGCGCCTCTCAGACGAGGGTTTGCAGGCCTCCCCTGGGGAGATGCTATAGTCACGGCTGCCTGGCCGACGGACACACCCCAGGCCCCCCCACACACCCGGGCCTCATACACGCACACACACACAGACATAACACACACACCCAGGCCTCATACATACAGACATAACACACACACACACAGACATAACACACACACCCGGGCCTCATACACACAGACATAACACACACAGACATAACACACACACCCAGGCCTCATACACGCACACACACACAGACATAACACACACACCCAGGCCTCATACATACAGACATAACACACACACACACAGACATAACACACACACCCGGGCCTCATACACACAGACATAACACACACAGACATAACACACACACCCAGGCCTCATACACGCACACACACACACAGACATAACACACACACCCGGGCCTCATACATACACGCACATACACACACACAGACATAACACACACACCCAGGCCTCATACACGCACACACACACACACAGACATAACACACACACCCAGGCCTCATACATACAGACATAACACACACACCTGGGCCTCATACATACAGACATAACACACAGACATAACACACACACCCAGGCCTCATACACGCACACACACACAGACATAACACACACACCCAGGCCTCATACATACAGACATAACACACACACCTGGGCCTCATACATACAGACATAACACACAGACATAACACACACACCCAGGCCTCATACATACAGACATAACACACACACCTGGGCCTCATACATACAGACATAACACACAGACATAACACACACACCCAGGCCTCATACATACAGACATAACACACACACCTGGGCCTCATACATACAGACATAACACACAGACATAACACACACACCCAGGCCTCATACACGCACACACACACAGACATAACACACACACCCGGGCCTCATACATACAGACATAACACACACACACCCGGGCCTCATACACGCACACACACACACACACAGACATAACACACACACCCGGGCCTCATACACACACACACACACACACAGACATAACACACACACCCAGGCCTCATACACACAGGCATAACACACAGACATAACACACACACCCGGGCCTCATACACGCACACACACACACACACAGACATAACACACACACCCGGGCCTCATACATACAGACACACACACACAGACATAACACACACACCCGGGCCTCATACATACAGACACACACACACACATACTCCCAGGTCTCATACACACACACACACATATCCCCGGGCCTCACACACACACTTGGGCCTCATACATACACACACACATACCCGGGCTTCACACACACACACACATACCCTTGGGCCTCACACACGTGTGTACACATACATACGTGCACACACATGGGCTTCACACACACCAGGGCCTCAAGCCTCACACACACACACACGCACCAGGGCCTCAAGCCTCACACACGCACACACCCCCCCTTAGACCTCACACACACACGCGCACACACATGCACACACACGCACACACACAGTGTCACTTCCACTCATACCATCCACTTGCCAGGTGGGACCAGAGTGGGAACAGGTCATTGCCAGGCAGGGACCAGCCCTGGGCGCTGCCATGACTGAGAGCAGTGGCCGACTCTGGGAGCATGGCTCAAGCTAGAGCTCAGTGTGCCTGGGCAACGGCGGCCACGCCCCAGGACAGATGGAGAGGCTGAGCAGGGCCCGGGCATGTGCCTCAAGTATAGCCGGTCCCCCGGGGGTGGGGACGGGTCCCCAGGCCGCTGTATGGGAAGCACTGGAGCCTTGGGTCACATGTGTGAGCCTTGGGAACATGGAACGAGGGGCTGGCCTCGTGATGTGGGGGTGCTACCAGTGATGCCAGCGTGCCACCATGGCCATCACATGGATGTTGGTTCAAGTCCAGGCCGCCCCACGTCAAGTCCTGCTCCCTGTGGATGTGCCTGGGAAAGCAGTGGGCAGTGGCCCAAGTGCTTGTGCCCCTGTGCCCATGTGAGGGACTGGCCCCTGTTGCAGCCATCTGTCAAGTGAACCGGAAGATGGGAGAGCTCTCTGCCTCCCCCACCCGCTGCGGATTTCCAACCAGCCAATTTTAAAGCAAAGACTGGGAAGTTGGCATCATTATAAGCATCTAGCAGCAGGAGGCCAGCAGTGACTCCACGCTGGACATCTAATGACCCGGGTGAGACAGCACACACACTGGACATGTTCCTGTCCAAGGAAGGGAGGGCACATGGGCCAGGCTGAGCTGGCGGCAGCAACACGCAACAGAGCAGGGCCCTCAGCCTGGGGAGTGAGGGGGTGCCCAGAGTGGTGGCAAGCAGGTGACTGGTGTCCCACACCTGAAGGACTGGGAGCTGTGGCTGCAGGGCTGTGTGGTCACCGGCAGGTGCTGGCCCTCACACATTGGTCACCTGGAGCAGCAGAGAGCAATGGAGCTGAAGCCATGGCGGCCCATGCACAGTGTGCAGGTTCATTTAATGCAGTTCTGACTGCACAGCCTTGGGAGGGGAGGGAGCGGGTTCCAACAAACAGGCAGTAAGTCCAAGAGTCACCACAAATCACATGCCTCGCTCCACCACCCAGCGCTTGTCTGGGGCCATGTCAGCACAGTCACGCTGGCCACTAGTATCTGTATCCGTTTCCTGATTCTCCATACTTCATGTTAAAAAATACATTTTGAGGCTGTGAAGCTGCAGGGGGCAGGGAAAGGCTTCCCAGGAATGAGGTGAGCCGGTGGTCTTTATCCAAGGTGGAGCCCAGCTTCAGCTTCAGCACCTCGTCCTGCAGCTTCCGTGCCTGCGGAAGAGGGGAACGTCAGGGAGACCACACAGGCACCCACGGGCCTTAAGTGTGCTGAGGCACACCTAACTGCCCCCAAAGGAGTTCCTGACCCTGCTCATAAATCTGTGACACCTGCTGACTGTACCTGTGTGTGACACCTGCTAATTGTACCTGTGTGTGTCTGTGTCACCTGCTGACTGTATCTGTGTGTGTGTCACCTGCTGACCCCTGCTGGCTGTGTGTGTGTGTGTGTGTGAGAGAGAGAGAGAGATCCCTGCTGGCTGTACCTCTGTGTGTGTGACTCCTGCTGACTACCTGTGTGTGTCTGTGACCCCTGCTGGCTGTACCTGTGCCTGTGTGTGTGTGACTCCTGCTGACTGTACCTGTGTGTGTGTCACCTGCTGACCCCCTGCTGGCTGTACGTGTGTGTGTGAGAGAGAGACCCCTGCTGGCTGTACCTCTGTGTGTGTGACTCCTGCTGACTCTGTGTGTGTGACTCCTGATGACTCTACCTGTGTGTGTCTGTGACACCTGCTGGCTGTACCTGTGCTTGTGTGTATGTGACTCCTGCTGGCTGTACCTGTGTCTGTGTGACACCTGCTGGCTGTACCTGTGTGTGTGTCACCTCTGACTGCACCTGTGTGAGATCCTGCTCCCACCACGGCTGTGCTCCGACCACGGCCATGCTCCAACCACGGCCGTGCTCCCACCACGGCTGTGCTCCCACCATGGCTGTACTCCTGCCCCGGTAGGATGGCTGATAACTGGTAGGTTTCCTTCCTCAGATGTCTGGGGGATTTACCATGAACCCACTGGGGGTCTCTCTGCTCTCTGCAGGTTGAGTGTAGACCTCGTTTCCCCAGTGGACGCAGGTGCATGTCTGATGCAGCCAAGTGGCTCTGTGCTGTGTGTCTGTCAGAGGCTGTCTTTGAAGGGGTCCATCGTCCCACCCAAGTGATCCCATCCATGGGCACAGAACTGCCTGTGACCCGAACTGCCTTTGGGGCCCCAGCATGGGGCATGGCTGAGACACGGGTGCCCTGGAGCCCACGAGGCCAGGCTGTGGTGGCCATGGACAAGACCATGCCCCTAGATAAAAGAGTCAGAATCCAGGCTTCAGGGAAGTGGGGAGAGGAAAGAGCCCCAGAAGACTGAGTGAGGGTCTGCATGGAGGCCCTGCCTTCTCTGCTCCCCCTGGGCTCCTAGAGGGGGCAACAGTGTGAATGGAGCCCATGACAGGCTGGGGGTGGGGTGGGGGGAGGGACGGCAGGTTCCCCTGGCTCCATCAGCCTGCCTTGGCAGCTTGGACAGGGGGAGGGACGGCAGGCTCTCCCGGCTCTGTGAGCGTGCTGTTGGCTCTGGATGCTGAACTGCTACCCAGCGGAGATGGACTAGATACGTCTGGGGACTGGGAAGGGGGCAGTGGCCACCTTCACCCCACACGGGCTGACCCCTGCGGCAAGGCCCCACTCTCAGCACACATGTGCCGTCCAGGATGCTGTAGGCAAGGGCAGGCACTGAGCACCATGGCCGCCTGCACAGACACCAGCTGCCCTGAGCTGAGGAGAGGGTCACCATCAGACGCCCTGGGAGGCAGGAACCACAGGGCTCCTGGGAGTGCCGCCCTCACGGCTGGCAAGGGGGGACAGGTCCATGCTACCCATAACCAGGGCCTGGGAAGCCAGGGTGCCCTCTGAGAGCACAACCCCAGCCAGAGCATCTTCTTACCACTGATTAGCAGCAACTCAGCCCTGCCCGCGTCCTGGGACACACCACTCCTGTGCCGTCAAAGACGCACACCCATGGTGTCCAGCAGAGGGCGCCAAGGGGCAGAGTCGCTGATTGTGCCTCACCACACAGGTCCTCCGCCCCCTCTGCTCACGCTCTGACTGTGCCATGCCGCCCAGGCCCTCCGCCAGCTCTGCTCATGCTCTGCCCACGCACCTGCAGTGTGTGCTGCTTGATCCTGGCTTCCAGGTCCCTCCCTCGGAAGGCGCTGAGGAGGAAACGACACCATGGCCCATCACTGCCTGGTACCCCCCTGGTACCCCACTGCCCCTGAGGACACGGGTTTCCATTTCTCCATCCTAATCCTCTTGAGGGTCCCGGCCTCTGGGCACCCCCAGCACCAGCTGCTCCCACCCTCTCCGCATGAATGTGGAAGCGGCTGACCCAGCTGTACCTGCAGCTCATGTTCGACGCAGCGCCGTTGGAGGAAGAACAGGGGCACCCGGTCACCCCTGGCCTTAAGTGTGGCCTGGATCTGTGCTCCCAAGGCTCGTGCTTCTGTTGGCACTGCACTGTGGGCTGCCCCACACTGCCTCGGGGGCACAGAGCACCTTGGCGGGCTCCTTGAGGTCCCCGCCCCTGGACCACAGGATCTGTGGTTTCGTTTGAGTTTCAGGATAACAGGAAGATACACCCTTTCTTAGTCCCAAGTCGGGGCACACACAGCTGGCCTCAGGTCTCCACCTGGGAAACGGGGGGCTGGAGGCCATATTGGACAGCTAGTCGGAGAAGGCTGGGTCCCTGTAGCATGCACGAGAGGAGTCCAAATGACTTCCCCGTGGCTTCATGGGGGCCACAATCCAACCCCCATGGCCTTTCAGATTTCCCAGAATGCTGCACGCTTTGGTGGGGAGCAAACCCTCCAGAAATTCAACATGGCACTGGCCGGGCAGCCCTGTGCCACAGAGACCTTCCCACAAATCCTCAGGTTACATGGGACTTTGTGACACTCTGGCAACAGAGTGGGGATGGGCAGGTGGGCAGGCAGGTGGGGCCCAGAGGAGCTTGTGGAATTCCCGGTGACAGACTCCAAGGGACCCAGTCACCAACCTGGGCCCCTCGGCTGCCTGTGGTGCCCGCACTTTTCCTTGTCGCAGCCTCCCGAGTGGATTCAGTGTCCTCCCGTAATCGACTAGATCTGAAGCCGGGGGGATCTTGGACGGGACCTAGGAGAACACAGTGCACTCTCAGGAGCCTCTTCAGCGAGCAGGCCTCAGCGTTGGCTGCGCGGGGGTTGGCCGCCGGGTGCTCCTTACAGCCGCCAGGGCACCCCCGGCCGCCCCGGCCACCTCCGCCCCCGGCCGCCCCGGCCACCTCCGCCCCCGGCTGCCCCCGGCCGCCCCCGGCCGCCCTGGCCACCTCCGCCCCCCACTGGGGTTGGACACGTGGTGACACCTGTTTGACCGAGCATGGGCAGGCAGAGAGAGGGAGCCCTGGGGAGGGCTCAGAGCTGATGCCCCCACAGACTGGAACAGGATACATGTAGCACACACACAGGGCACAGAGGGCACACACTCCTCACACCATGTTGTGACTCTGCTGCACTAAAGTACCAACTTGATCCTTGAGCCCAGACCACTGCCCATCCATTCCTAGGACCCCGATGTGGCCCTGTGGGGGTCCCCTGCCCCCGTCACTGTCCTCCAAGCAACTGCACCTGCACTGTTTCAGTTCCCAGTGCAGGAGTCCGCCTACCCCTTTCCCTGGTGATCGCACTCAGCATCCCCCAAGCCCTGCTCAAGTCCCCATGGTCATCTGATTGGCCCGCTCACTCTGACCGTGTCCCTCACATGTTGTGGCAATGGCCATCCCACTCCCAGGAGTGGTGACCAGGCCAGTGAGCTGTAGACGGGCATTCCCCAAACGCCCGCATCACATGTGACCAGGTGTGTCACTGCCAAGTTGTCCTTCTGCTCCATTTTCCTGCTGCCCACCTCTTGGCTCTGGCTCTTACAGTGACCACCACAGGCGGCGTGGGGCAGTTTCCTGGACACAGTCCCTCTTCATAGCAGCACTGCTCGCTGCTGCCTCCAGCGGCTGAATAGGAAACAGGACTGACCTCTCTGACATTATGGGTCAGAGGGGCCTCCCTCACTTGCCGGATTCCGGCCTGGGCCTATGCCCAGTCTACATGTGTGTAAAACTCTGCTCACTGTGTACACATGTGTGGTGTACTCGCTGTGTGTACACATGTGTGCTCACTGTGTACATGTGTGAGCTCACTCTGTATATGTGTGTGTATGCTGTGTGGTGTGTGCACTGTGTGTACATGTGTGCTCACTGTGTACATGTGTGAGCTCACTGTGTACATGTGTGTGCACGCTGTGTGGTGTGCGCACTGTGTGTACATGTGTGCTCACTGTGTACATGTGTGTGCTCACTGTGCACATGTGCGTGCGTGCATGCTGTGTGTTGTACTCACTCTGTGTACACATGTGTACTCACTGCATACATGTGTGCTCACTGTGTACATGTGCACTCACTGCACACGTATGTGCGTATATGCTGTGTGGTGTACTCACTGTGTGCACGTGTGTACATGTGTGTGGTATACGCACTGTACATGTGTGTACTCACTGTGTGTACATGTGTGCCTGTATGTACTCACTGTGTATACATGCGTGTTTACTCAGTGTGCACATGTGTATCTGTTTACACACTGTATGCACATGCATGTGGTATACCTACTGTGTGCACGTGTGTGTGTATGTGCTGGGGATGGTCAGAAGTTGACGCAGACTCCCGTGGCGTGTGGCCTTGGGTGACCCCAGCAACCCTGCCCCTGGGGCCTGGGCCAAGGCCCTGCCTGTCTGCTCTCCAGCCAGCTGGACACCTAGAAAGTACTGGACACCAGGGGGAGGAGACTGCGGGAGAAGCAGTCACTCCACACTGTCCCCTCTGACACTCCCGACACCACAGAGCTCAAGCTGCTGCCTGGGGCTGGGGCCGGGGGCTCCTCAGGAGTGATTCCAGCAGAAGGAAGACCACGGGGTGGCCCCAGCCGGTTGCTGCTCCTTCTGAGTCAGACACTCAACTTGTCCTTAAAAATCTTAAACGTCCCTATTTGGAAGCCAGTCCACTCAGCCACATCTCGCACAAGCACGGAAAGGGAGAATACTCGCCCCGCCCAGCACCGCTTTCCTTGAGCTTCAGGCCTCTCACTCTGACCCTCACCCCTGGTGCCCTCACCTGACCCCCACAGTCCAGCAGCAAGATCCTCACTGCAGCTGTCCTGATGGTCTCTGAGCTGTGATGTCCCTGAGACCATGGCAGCTGTGACCACGCAGGCCCCTTGCATCGAGTCAGAGCCCCCTTGTGTCCCTGTACCCTACTGCAGGGAGTTGTTGCAGGCAGGCCCCCAGGGCCTGTGGGTCCCCCAGCCTGCAGGTCACCGTTCTCAGCTTGGCACCTGCAAATTCTGGGTCTCACTCCAGGAACACAAGATCACACCTTGCAGGCAGGCAGGCAGGCATGGTCTCACAGGTCGGCGGTTTATGCCTTCCTCACTTGCTGCCTGGCATGACTTGTCCCTGTCCAGTGATGTTCAGAGCCAACCTGCAGCCGTGCTGTGCACGCTGGTTACGAACATTCTCAAAGATGCTCCTCTGTCCTGTCTGGCTAAAGGACTCGGGCCTCCTGTGTGTCTGAGGGGGTTCAGGCCTGGGAGGGACCACTGCTCGCCTCTGTGCTGCTGCTGTCCCATGCTGAGACAGGCGTCCCGGGTGCTCACTGACTGTATGGACCAATAACACATCTGTCCCCTCCCCCACCAAGCCAGCAGCTGGGGCAGCAGAGTGCCACTGGTGTGTTCAGCTCCACAGCGTGGACGTCCGTGGGGCCGTGGCCGGTGGTTTGGCTGATGGCAAAGACAGTGTTTGCATCTGCTGGCTAATGGCGCCTAGGCTCTGTCTCTGGTCTGAATGTGTTCTTAAGCTTCTCTAACTGTGCAAGTGTTTTTATTCCTCAAAGTGATGAAATACATTTTCAAAAATTTTTAAGTACTTGGGGAAAATTGGAAAGGAGGTGGCAACAAAAGGAACAGTCTCAGGGGGCTGGTTCGAGTCCTGGCAGCTCCACTTTCAATCCAGCTCCTGCCCATGTCCTGGGAAAGCTGCAGAGGGTGGCCAAGTGCCTTGGCTCCGGCAAGCCGCACACAGCCAGTGCTCCCAGTGCTGGGCAGATAGGACCCGTGCTGGGGTGGGGCAGCCCCCTCTTGCTCTACACCCTCGTCCTGTGCCTGAGTGGGTGAAGAGCCCCAAATGGCTCAGGGGAATAGCAAAGGGGCAGCACTCGGGGCCCTATGGCACCCAGCCCGGGTGCCCCGCCGTGCCCTTAGAAACATACTTCGTGCCACAGCTCCGCTTCCCTCCTGCCTCTTACAGCACCCAGTTCTCAAACTAAAGCTGCAACCCAGGCCTGGCAGGCAGCCCTGCAAGCTGAGGCCCCAGACACAGCAGCCACGCACAGCAGCTGCCTGCTCCGCGGAGCTGCCCCAGCCGGGTGTGGCACCCCACCTCCTGCTGCCCATCCCCCCCGATGTCCTACCAGGCTCCTCTGTGAGGCCAGCAGCTGGCTGACCCTGTCACGTGGCAGCACCCGGGCACGCGCTCTCCACTCCTGCAGCACCTTCTTGTCTCTGGGAGGACATGGGGGCGGGGTCAGGAGATCAGAGAGGCTGACCCGGGGGGAAGCACGAGCCCTCCAGCCCCAGAACCAGCTTTAGGGTCTCCCACCGACTGCCCACCCTGGCCTCTTTTTGGCTCCACCAGCCCAGGTGCCTGGCACTGCCTACTCTGCCTGGCCTCTGCCCACTGGCCACGCCATGCCTGTCAGTGCTACCCTGGGACTGGACATGCCATGGCCACCCCCAGACATGCCCTGGAGTGCAGGTGTCAGTGGCCTCGGCGCCACCTCTCTCACCTGTGCGTGACTGTGACCCTGCCCCAGTGAGCCCACGGGGCTCTGGTGTCTGCCACCTTGGGTGTCAGGACATAGCATCCTGCTTACCAGTCAGGCCCAAGGGGTCACCCCAAGGCAGGGCAGGCTCCCTGTGGCACACAGGGAGGGCCCTGGTGCTCTTGGCATCTGACAGCTGTCTGTCAGCCTGTTTTGGGTTCTGGGAAGACGTGCATGGTATCCGGGCTGCCTGGATAGACAGGTGCTGGCTGGGAGCCTCTGTTACACCTCAGCACACCTGTGTCCCACCCGCCGTGGATGGGGCAGGGCCCATGCAAACAGGCCTCTGCTAAGTGCCACATGCCGAGATGGCTTTCCTGGGGTAATCTACTCTGAGGCCATGTCACCAGCTGCAGAGGCCTGCAGGGGCTGCCAGTGACCCAGCTAACACCCATCTTGTCCTGCCCACAGTTTGCGTCTCTTGCTGACCCATGAGAGAACAGAAGCCCCTCCATGCCCCCAGAGGGACTGCTCAGGAGGGGAGGGGGTGGGAAGCCCCAGGACCCTACAGCGGCCTGGTGGAGCCATCCCACGCCCAGGACACATCCAGAAAGGAGAGAAGTAGCCAGGCACACTGGGGGTGGTAGTGACTGTAGCCAGGCCTCCCCATGCTCACTGCACCTAGCCCCAGCTGCCCACTCCAGGTGAAGGGCAGCCATGCTAACCAGCTCCTGGCTCCAGCTGGGTGGACAGTGGGCAGACGCTAAAGATGCTGAGTAATGCCGGGAACCCAGGCAGGTCCCCAGCAACACCAGAACGGACGTCACCCCTTAACCCATTCTTCCAAATCAGCCTTCTCAGACAGCCTTGGGGGTCAGGGGGCAACCAGGCAGGAGCGGTGACAAGGCCAGGGCAGAGGGTGGACCCTTGGGGGCTGCAAGGCAGAGTGTTAGATCTTGATAACAGGAAATGTGGCCTACCTTGCACGCTGCTGCTCCAGCAGGACCTGCCGCTCCCGCAGCTCTGCCAGGGCTACCGCCCGGCTCACTTCCCTCCGCTGGCCTCCCACCTCTGCCCGGCGTGGTGGCACCAGGCCCGGCAGGGTGCTCCTGAGGGCGGGTGCCTTCCTCGGGACATCACACAAGGCTCTTGGCTGTGTGTTCTCTGGGATCCTGTGACAACCATACGGGGGGAGGCCCTGGGGTGCTGGGGTCCAGCCACGCTGACCCCAGCAAAGGGCGGAAGGCTGCAGCCGGCACTGCACCACAGGCGGCAGCGTGTTTCCGCGGGCTGGAGGCTCCTGGGGAGATCCCACACACTCAGAGGGGAGGGATACCCTCCCTCTGACACGATGCAGTTCTCTCTATGAGAGGAGCTGACACGAGGGCCAGCCACGTACAGGACGGGCCTGCTCAACATGACCGCAGGAGGTGCGCATGGCTGTTGCCGTGCAGCCCCAGCTCCGTCACAGCCTGCCTGGCTCAAGGCCTCCAAGCGGCAGGCCACACCCTGGCAGGGTTGTCCAGGTGGCTATGCCCCCTCAGGGTGGGGCCCATGGCTCAGCAGTACATGGTTCCAGGCCAGTGTCCCCGCTCCTGACCCTCAGACGCGTCATCAAGGACGATGTTTGACCCTTTCCCGGCGTCTCTGCTCAGGAATGGCCCTTGGCTGGGCAAGGGGCAGGTGGCGCAGGGAAGAGGACCCTGCCCCTGGCCAGGGGCCTGGAGCACCACCTGCTTCCCGGCCACAGGACCATTCCTGCATCGAGGGGCCCGTGGCTGAGTGAGCCAGGCCTGGCCTCTGGCAACTGCTCAGTGCCATGAGCTGCTGGGCAGATGGCTGGGGCCGCAGGGGGCTCCGAGGGGCTGCCCCAGGCTGGCAGGGTGCAAGGTTCCCTAGCACAGGATGAAGACTCAGGCTGTGCTCTCCTGCCCCAACACGAGCCCGCCACAGCCACGTGCACTGCTGTCACTCATGGCTGCACAGTGACTGGGGGAAGGGCAGAGCCCAGGGCAGTCCCCGTGTGATGGTGGAGACAGAGGGCAGGAGGCAGGTCCTGGGGTCATCTACAGTGCTGGGATCTGCAGGCCAGTCATGGACCTGGGCAGCACACACTTGCACACTGCATGCTGGTCGCCTGTCCCACCAGCTTGCAACGTGCCCTCAGGGTGGGGCCAACACAGGGCGCATCCATCAAGGCTGACATATATGTCACACATGTGTGTCTAACAGGCACAGCACAAATGGCCATGCTGATGTATACACGCACACATGTATACACATACATACTACACATACACACATCATGCATACAACACACATATACATACATACCACACAATCATACATACAACACACATACACACCACACACATCATACATACAACACACATACACATACATACCACACACATCATACATACAACACACATACACATACACACCACACACATCATACATACAACACACATACACATACATACCACACATACATCATGCATACAACACACACATACACACCACACACATCATACATACAACACACATACACATACATACCACACATACATCATGCATACAACACACATACACATACACACCACACACATCATACATACAACACACATACACATACATACCACACACATCATACATACAACACACATACACATACATACCACACACATCATACATACAACACACATACACATACATACCATGCTGGGGTCCGTGTGATGGGTGTGGAAGACAGGAAGGTGTAGAGTATCGTTCCTTTGCAGGCAGGGCCCGGCGGATGTCTCTACGACCACCTGAATGCAGCTCCGCCTCCCTTTGCATGGACACCGGACGACCCCGCTGAGAATTCTGTAATCTATTTAGGCATTGTCTGCCTCTGCGGAGTTAATGTTTACTACCAATGTGAACTTGGAAGTTGATGTTGCTGACACCATTTTAGCAAAAGGGCCTTTCATTATTGCTGCCCCCATTGATCATATACTAATCAAGGGTGTTCCGTCCCCAGGTGTAGTGGGAATCTATTCTTTCCCTCCTTCTTTGATCTTTAGGTCCTTCTTTCTGTGATGCCTTTCCTCCCTTAACTGATTCAAGATTAAGTTGTAGAATGAGGATTGTAGTGGGAATGTGTTACTGATTGATATGCACCATCTATTGAGAACTTCCTGACCACAGGGTCAGGATGGATAGCATCCTGCTTTAAGGTGAAACAAACGGCAGAATTGTCCTTAGAAACACCCACTTGACCATGACGTAAAAAGTCTGAGCCAGAGTTTGACTCATTCTGTATAAATAAAGCAATAGCTTCTGTGCATTGTCCACAATGGTCTTGGAATTGTAGTGGTCCATCTCTCTTCTTTCTACGCCTATTTCACGCACCCTTCTCAAGCTCCGAACTCAGCTGGAGCTGGACTCCAGCAATATCACACACATACACATTAATACTACACACACACCACACACATACACGTGCACACACCACGACTGGAGCTGTTCTCTCAGCACCTCTCCTCTGCTGAGCCTGCTGCAGGGCCCCTTTCCTGGGTATCCCCACCCTGGAAGCTGTGCTGCACACCCAGGGCAGCAGGGTCGTGGAGGGGAGGGACACAGTGCAGACTTGCGGTTGGGAAGGGTCCCGAGCAGCCCCCCTCCACAGGCCTGGGGGGCCCCGCCACACAGCCTTACCTGGTCTTGGGCTGGGCCTGGCCCTCCGTCTTGCTGTCCAGCACGGCCTGGACGTGTGGGGGCAGCTGTAGGGACAGCAGCTGGTGGGCGAGCACGTCTGCTCCCTGGCACCCCACAATCTCCTGCCTCACCTTCCAGAAGCGCCGGAGCTCTGCCTCACTGGGCACGTGCGGGGCCGAGTCTGGCCTGTTGAGTAGGTCGAGCTCTAGCTTCTCCACGGTGGGGAAGATGGTTGCCCCTGGGCCCTGCAGCAAGATGGTGTGGTGTCCTGGCAAGTCCCACGTGGGGCCCGCAGGCTCCTTGGGCTGAGCCGCTATCTCAGGTGAACTTTCTAGAAAGAAAGGCTGCATTAGTGGCCACTTTAGGGGGTGTGTGGGGTTAGTGTGTCAACAGCAGGCCCCAGGCCTGAGTTGATGTCCTTGCTGAGGGAGGCCTTGGAGGAGGAGCACCCTGTCCCGTATAGAAGCTCACGCAGGACCTGTGTGGCACCTACTGCTGCTGCCCACCTTGCGGGGGAGAGTCCATCTCCCAAGTTGCCCCTGTCTGACGGTAATCCCACAGGTACGCCTTGTCTGCCCACTACCACCCTCAGAGCCCCAATCTCTGTCTCAGCCACCTGCCATTTGGAGCTCCACCCCAACTCCCTCTACTGGGAGAAAGCTGGGGTGCAGCCGGGTCTGCTTTCCCTCACACGCAACTGCAGGCCAGAGCTCAGGGCTGGCAGGAGTGGGCGCGAGTGGGCAAGCATGGGGCAGGCATGCTTAGTAACCCACCCCATCATCTTCCTTCACGAGTTCCAAGCACCCGGGAGCAGCAGGAGCTACTTCCTGTGAGAGGTGTGGTCACTCCCAGCCCCTCGGTCCAGCAGCTTCACCACGAGTTAATGATCTGCCGAACTGGCCGACCGTGTAGTAACCTGCCTGCCTTTAAGAGGCATGCGGTGAGGGGCTGCCTGACCTAAGGGAGGACATCTTTGTTTTGAGTTTCAGGTGGAAATGTCCAATCAGGGTGGGGCTGTGCTGAAGATGCGCTCACGGTGCCAGAGGCCCCAGTTCAAGTCCCGACTGCTCCACTTCCAGCCCAGCTTCCCGTTAGTGCGCCTGGGAAAGCAGAAGGTAGCTCCCATGTTGGGCCCCTGCACACACCTGGGAGACCTGGATGGAGGGCAGTGTAGACTTCTGGCTTTAGCCTGGAGTAGCTCTGGGGGCCCACCCAGCACCCTGGGACCTCTGTCCCTTGACAGACACAAGAATCACCACATGTGACCACACGAAGCCCAGAGCAGACACAGGAACATGGACAGTGTGTCTCACCCTACACTCTGTCCACCGTGGGCTCACCCCGCACTCTGCCCGCGTGGGCTCACCCCGCGCTCTGCCCGCCGTGGGCTCACCCCGCACTCTGCCCGTGTGGGCTCACCCCGCGCTCTGCCCGCCGTGGGCTCACCCCGCGCTCTGCCCGCCGTGGGCTCACCCCGCACTCTGCCCGTGTGGGCTCACCCCGCGCTCTGCCCGCCGTGGGCTCACCCCGCACTCTGCCCGCGTGGGCTCACCCCGCACTCTGCCCGGGTGGGCTCACCCTGCACTCTGCCCGCTGTGGGCTCACCCCGCACTCTGCCCGCCGTGGGCTCACCCTGCACTCTGCCCGCTGTGGGCTCACTCAGCACTCTGCCCGCTGTGGGCTCACTCAGCACTCTGCCCGTGTGGGCTCACCCGCACTCTGCCCGCATGGGCTCACCCGCACTCTGCCCGCGTGGGCTCACCCTGCACTCTGCCCGCTGTGGGCTCAGGGCTTCTGGGCCAACTAGACAGCATGAGCGCAGTGGTAAAGACAGGCAGGGCAGCCTGTTGGCTCAAGTGGGATGCCTGGGTCTGAGCCTGGGTCTGCTTTTAGTTCTAGCTTTCTGCTAGAACGGAAGGGATGGCAGTCGTTGGGCCTCTGTACCCACACATAAGTCCTGGCAGAGGCCCTGGCTCCTTGTTGCAGCCTGGCTCAGCCCCAGCCATTGCAGTACCTCAAGAGTGAATCAACACAGCTTTCTTTCTGCCTCCCAAAGAAAATGGACAAATCAATTTTTCAGAAGGACTAAGGAGCTACCAGGCTTCCTGCAGCACATGGACCGGATCTGTGTGTTCCACCAGACCCCTGTGGGCAGTGGACACTGGCCCCCAAGCTCCCATGTCTCAGAGCTGTTATCGGGGACCCCTCCTGGGACACGCCGAGCACCCTGGGGCCACACACGGCAGGGTGGGGAGATGCCCCACTCATCCCATCTGAGCCCTTCTTATTTCTAAACAGGCTACTGCTTTTTAAATTCTCACCACTAACTGATGTCTGTGGTTCGCTCTCCAACTGCCTACAGTAGCCAGGGCTGGACCATGCCAGAGCCCAGAGCCTGGAACTCCATGTGCATGTAGGGACCCAACGACCAGACCCCATCTGGGCCTCCCATGTGGCCGGCAGGGCCCTAGCACTGGCATGGCAGGCCTGTGTCCCGAGCACAGCGTAACCGCTGGCCTGTCGCCCACACACCTGTCTGCTTCAGAGATCAGGCCGTTCCGTTCTGCGGACGCCACTTCTCCCAGCATAGCGAAGGTTCCTGTGCCGCTCCTCCCTTTGCCCTCCGAGGCCCCGAGGACAGCAAGCACACAGGCCACCTGGTGCCTCTGTGAAGGGCACTGAAGCCGGGGCAGAGGCCACCCCAGGCCTCTAGGGAGGAGATGTTCCTCCCCACTTCTGCCCTGAGCCTCTCTCCTGGAAGGCTGTGCCTGGCCTCAACCCCGAGCAGCCGCGCCTGAAGCCAGTTTCCGCTGTTTCGGTTACTGCACACAAACCTCGGAGACCTGAGGTGGGCACAGTTGAGCCCATGGCACTGGGGCGACGTCCATGGGAGATCCACCCCAGACAGCCAAGTGCAGCGGAGTGTCTACACCTATCCTCAGGCCGCACTGGGCCTGCAGTTAGGACACGTGAGCTCTTCCCAGCCCCACGGCCAGAAGCCTGGGTTCAACTCCCACTTCCTGCATGTGCCTATGTGCCCTGCCAGACGGACGACCCGCATGGAGCTTCTGGGCCTGGCTCAGCAAGGCTGCAGGTGCTGTGGCCAGGTGAGAGGTGACAGTGGAGAGGAGGCCTCTCTGGTTCTGACAGTCCAAGAAGTACACAAGAGGAGAGCCGGACGCTCTGTGGCTTCAGGCGGCCATGGTCCAGACTCGTCCCACCAACCTCGGGACACCGCCTCGTGGGGGCAGGAGTGCTCCGTGGCGCAGATCCGCAGAAAGCTCAGGATGGCCACCAGCCCCTTCTGCACGATGAGCTGAGGAGGGAACTCGAGCGGGCAATGCCTCAGGTTCAGTGCCTTCAGTGTCACCACGTTCCCTGCAACAGAGAGGGGCAGCTGTCTGGACAGCCAGTCCTGCTCCATGGAGCACAGCACAAAGGGACACGGGCATGGCACCCAGGCTGACCAGTAGAGACACAACTGGGACGGCACCCGGGCCGACCAGCAGAGACACAGCTGGGACGGCACCCAGGCTGATCAATATAGGCCAACGTGGGGTCAGCTGGGACGGCACCCAGGCCGACCAGCATAGATACAGCTGGGATGGCACCCAGGCAGACCAGCAGAGACACAGCTGGGACGGCACCCAGGCTGAGCCCAAGCCAACATGGGAACAGCAGAGTCTGCAGCACCATGGACCTGCTCTCGGACACACAGGCCTGCACTAGCACCCAGAGGACAGTGTGCACTGGCTCCTAGACCTGAAAATGGTGGGAACTGAAATGGAAAACACAGGGGCGGGCTCCACAGGGCTGGGACCCCGCCTGACCCCACGGCCTGGGACCCCGCCTGACCCCACGGCCTGTGACCCCGCCTGACCCCACGGCCTGCGCAGCCCCCACGGCCTGTGACCCCGCCTGACCCCACGGCCTGTGCAGCCCCCACTGCCTGGGACCCCGCCTGACCCCACGGCCGCGTTGTGCAGGGTCACTGCTCAGCTCATGTCCACGTATAAGGGGAAGGGCAGTACATTTGTTAACATGGGAAGTTAAACATTCATTCCCCCATCGTCACTGGGAGGTCACAGAGCATCCCCTCTCCTGGTGAGCCCAGCAGCCACGTAAGAGACCCACATTATTCATGCCCACGATTGTCACATTACCTGGACAAACTGCATATATTAAAACCACACCATGACGCCACAGCAATGCCAGGAATAAAAAGGCTGGCAACAGCAAATGCTAGTTGGGACCTGGGCACCTGGCACCTGCGCTCTTGGTGCTGTGGACGGCACCCTACCAGGAGCCAGCACTCTGACGGGCCAGCTTCCTGTTCAGCATGTCCACAGGAGTCCCTCCGTCCTCACTCCTGGACATCCACAAGAAACCTCGCACACGGCAGCTGAACACAGCACGTCAGAGGGGGCCTCACTGGTGTGGACTGTGCACGCAGCCCAAGTTTTTCAGGAACAGAAGACCAAAGAAGAGTGGGCAGTCCTTGCAGGAAGTGCCACAGCATGGTCACGCCTGCCTGCCTACCATAAGGCACCATTTGGCCATGTGAAAGAGGAGCTGGGCTTCACAGGACACGGGCAGTTAGACGGTAAAAGGACAGACAGGCCCTGTCACGCGGACATGGGCCAGGAGCAGCCATGCTCCCGGGGACAAGGAGGGTGGGATTCCGTCAGTGACCCTGGGTCAGCCTCCAACCCAGGCGTTGCCCCCACCAAGGGCCTGGCGTAAAACAGAACGCAAAACTGACAGGGAGAAGAGAGGCCGGCAATCCACAGTCCCCATGGAAGTTCCCAACACGCTTCTCAGGGTGCCAACAGCACAGCAGGCGGGCATGCTGGACTGCAGAAAGGAGAGGGAACCTGTCTGATCCCCACATCACAGTGGGGCGAGGGCTTGGGGTAGGCTGGCAAGCTGGCCCACCACACCGCTGCCCCCAGGCTGGGTGCCCCGCCATGTGACTGCTGCCACGCTGGGTGCCCCGCCATGCGACTGCTGCCATGCTGGGTGACATGCCTCACTCCTGCTCCCCTTCACACATGCAGCTGCTCCGTCCCTGTGCTCTGTAGCACCTGCTGGGGCCTTGGCAGCCCTATCACCCCGACATGTGTAGGACCTTGGGGCCCCAGAACAGAACAGAAAGGGATTCATGTGCCACTCATCCTGCCCGTGTCACATCGCCAGCTCCAGGACTGGGTCTGTGACCTGGAGAGACAGTGTTTAAACGCCTCTTTCCCAAGTGAGTGTCTCGCAGTTTCGGCACTCACCCAGTTCCGCAGGGAGCGCTTTGATGGGGTTGTTCTCTAAGAGCAGAGTTCGCAGGTGCCTTCAAGACAAAGCAGGAGAATCATGGAAGAGCTGGAACAGAGGGTTCCAAAGGACCCCAAGCCCCTTCTCTGGCTCTTCCAGGGGCGTGCCGTGGGCAGGCGGGCTCCAAAGAACCCCAAGCCCCTTCTCCGGTTCTTCTGGGGGTGTACCATGGGCAGGCAGGCTCTGAGCCTGAGATCTGGGTGTCATCATCTGACGTGGGGTCCCCAGTTCTGAGCCCTAGGCTCTGCATCCCTGGCCTTGCTCCATCTCCTATCACTGGCACCCCCAGGCCCCACACTGACAGCCACAAATGTCCCCAGACACGGCCAAGGGCATCCCAGGGCTCTGGGCATCCGGGGACGGCAGGTGCCTGACCCCAGCCCCTAAGGTTCACTTGAGCCCCAAAGGAAATGAGGAAATGGAGCATCCAGAACGTGCTGGGGTAGAGGCAGGTAGGGCTGAGGTGGTCATTCCATTCTCTGTCACAAACAAGTGTTCCTGTGGCCATCTAACCAATGCAAACAGGTTGGCTCAGGGTGCAGCACGGACAAACGAACACGCCAGCACTCCATCGGGGAGCCGGACTCCTGCCTGAAGGGGCGGACTGTCCTCCTGTCTGGACACTGGACAGCCTTATCCAGGTGGCCAACTCTCCTGAGCCCCAGCGGTTGGCACAGCCCACATTCTTCCCTCATGCTGATGCCCACCCCAACCACAGCCGCAGTCACAGCACGGGGTCGGGCTCCCTGCCTCTTGGCTGCCTGTGGCAACACTGTGCATCCCGAGTGGGCACGCACTTCAAGCCTTGTGGGGTAGCCGTGCATCCCACCTGTGAGCTCCGATCCCAGAGGGCAGCGCCTTGATCCTGTTGTACCGGAGGTCTAACCAGGTGAGGTTGGGCAGCAGCTGGAAGAAGTCCTTGGGGATGGCACACAAGGCATTCCTCTGCAGGTGTAGTTGCTTCAACAGGAAGACATGACCAGAGTCCATCAACACACGGGCCTCAGACCCCAGACATGCAAAGCAGCAGCCATCACAGTGCGTATCCCTGGCAGGTGATACTTCTCCTTCTGGGACCCCATGCTAAGCCAGACTGCAGCAGGAGGGCCAGCGGCTAAGCAGGACTGGAAGGGTGGTGGCACCAGGATGCGGCTGCTGATAACTGACACACCATGTGCACATTGTTGGGGCCTAGGAGGCACTGCAGCTACAGATGTGACCCCCAAAAGTGCAGAGATCTGAGGGGTGCCTCACCTGACAGCCCCTCAAAGCCCACAGCACTGCTCTCCCACAGCCCTGGTGCCCTGGCCCTGCCTGACCAGCCAGTGGTGCCCCCTTACCTGAAGGCTGGGAACCCCCTTACCTGGTCACTGGGGACCCCCTTACCTGGAGGCTGGGGACCCCCTTACCTGAAGGCTGAGGACCCCCTTACCTGGAGGTTGAGGACCCCCTTACCTGGAGGTTGAGGACCCCTTACCTGAAGGCTGGGGATCCCCTTACCTGGAGGCTGGGGACCCTGAGCAGTTCCCCCAGATGGCGCAGGCCGCTCTGACTCAAGTCTAAGACTGATGAAGAGCAGGACAGGGCCCCCTGGCGGGCATCCTGGGGGAGGGGGCCAGGCAGGCCCTCAGCTGGAGCCATGTTGTCCTCGGGGCCCTCAGTGGTGGCCAAGGGGGCTCCGTGAGAAGGGCTGCCCTCCACCGAGCTTCCTTCGGGGGCCACGGTGCATCCTTGGTCTGCGGCCACCTGGAGACACAGGACAGGCTGGGTTGGCATGGTGACCATATGAGGTGTCAGCCCCCAGGACCCAATAGCAACTTTCAGCACAACTGGACCACAGGAGGCTCTGCCAGGCCCAGGCCCCAGGCCCCGCCTACACCTCCTGGATGTCACCAGCAGGCAGGGCAGGGGCCAGGGCGAGCCTGCCGTGCCCGGCGGGCCTCTGCAACCCAGGCTGGCATCCCTGAGACAGGGTCCCGCCTGCAGGCCCCAGGGGACAGCAGGAGTTCAGTGCTGTGGTACGGGGAGCCTGCCTCCTGCTGGCCGCTGCTGGTCTCCAGGCGCTCCCCAAGCAACCCCGACACAGGGTGAATGGCACACATGCACTTGGTGTGTGTTACGGTGCACGTGTTTCCCGCACACATGTGGTGCATGTGTGGGCACAGTGTGGTGTGTGCACCACACATGTTACATGACTGCGATGAGTACACGTGCGGTGCGTGTACGTGAGTTAGACACACACCGTGTGGTGAATGAGCCCGAGTGTGGCCTGTGTGTGCACCTTATAGGTACACGTGTTGTGTGTGCATGCCTTACAGGCATATCCATACATCGTGTGTGTGCGCACACATTACAGGTTAAACACGTGCATGTTGTGTGGTACACGAACCAGGGGTGGTGCATGTATGTTAGAAGTGTCCTGTGTGGGTGTTACATGTGCCCGGAGTACGAGCCGCGTGGTGCACGTAGCTGTTACAGGTATGTGTGTGTTACATGTGTGGAGTGTGAGCTGTGTGTGGTGTGTGCAGCCCGCCCACCTGCGTGCTGAGCTCTGCAGCTCACCGAGGTCTGTCCGGGCACAGTTCAGGGTTCGGGGCCTTCAGGAGCCACGGGAGCCCGGCCTCTGTGACGCCGTGGGCTGCTGCGCGCTTGCGTTCCACGGGGACTCCAGGCCCCACCACTCCAAGTGCCTCGCACCTGACTCCGGGCGAGGTCTCGGCTTCCCTTCTGTCGTCGCCCGCCCAGAGCCCGAGGACCCCCGCGCTCTGGAGACCCCTTTAGCCTCCCGTCGCTGCTCCCAGGCCCGGGTCTGCGCCGCCCCACCTGCGCCCACAGCTCACAGGCGCAGCGGCTGTGCAGTTGCCAGGGAGACGCCGCCCTACGGGGCCCCGCAGGCGCCAAGTGTCTGGGGCGCGCAGGTCCGCTCGCCCTCAGCTGTCCTGTAGGTGACCCTCTCCCCGCGTCCCCTCAGCGGTCCCGCGGGCACTGTGGCCAGCTCAGGGTGTCCTGGAGGGAGCTCTAAGGGCCTAGTTAGCCCCACGGACTCTCAGATGCCGCTGTGTCCCTGTGGCACATGGCAGAGGGCACTGAGCAGCCAAGCAAGGATCCACTACAAAACCCATGGAGGAGTTACAGAGTCTGTTTTTCGTTTTGTTTAAGATTTTTCCTTTGAGATAGATGGTAAACTTGCCTCTGCTGGTTCACTGCCCCAAGACTTACAGCAGCCAAGGCTGGTAGGGTGGACACCACGGGCCAGGGATGCAACCCTGTCTTCCACATGGGCAGGAAGTTCACCACCTGAGTGGCCACTGCCACCCTCCAGCGTGGGCACAGGCAGGAAATTGGGGCCGGAGCCAGGGCCAGGCATAATATAGTCTAGCATGATATAGTTTAATGTGATGTCACCTGTAGTATAATAGAGTGTGATATAGTCTAACGTCATATGGTATAGTATATAATAGTGTGGTGTGATATAGTCTAAAATAGCATACGTAATATAACATGATGTAGCATGATTTAGTAAGTATACTGTGAGAGAGCAGAGTGTAATATAGTATGACACGGCATAACAGTATAGCAGGATATGGTATAATAATAAAATACAGTATAGTAAAATATCCGACAGTATAGCATGACCTAATGCATGTAAAGCATAATAGTGTAACATAGTATAGCATGCTATAGTGTAGTGTGATATAATATGTATAGTGTGGTTCAACATGACGCAGTACAGTGTGATATGGTACAGCAAGGTATAATATAGCACGATAGAGTATAACATGTATAATGCACTATAGTGTGATATAGCATGATACAATGCTTACACAATGCAGTGCAGTGCAGCAGAGCGTGCTCACACAATGCAGTGCAGTGCAGTAGAGCGTGCTCACACAATGCAGTAGAGCGTGCTCACACAATGCAGTGCAGTGCAGTAGAGCGTGCTCACACAATGCAGTGCAGTAGAGCGTGCTCACACAATGCAGTTCAGTGCAGTAGAGAGTGCTCACACAATGCAGTGCAGTGCAGTAGAGCGTGCTCACACAATGCAGTGCAGTGCAGTAGAGCGTGTTCACACAATGCAGTGCAGTGCAGTAGAGCGTGCTCACACAGTGCAGTGCAGTGCAGTAGAGCGTGTTCACACAATGCAGTGCAGTGCAGTAGAGCGTGCTCACACAATGCAGTTCAGTGCAGTAGAGCGTGCTCACACAATGCAGTGCAGTGCAGTAGAGCGTGCTCACACAATGCAGTTCAGTGCAGTAGAGAGTGCTCACACAATGCAGTGCAGTGCAGTAGAGCGTGCTCACACAATGCAGTGCAGTGCAGTAGAGCGTGTTCACACAATGCAGTGCAGTGCAGTAGAGCGTGCTCACACAATGCAGTGCAGTGCAGTAGAGAGTGCTCACACAATGCAGTGCAGTGCAGTAGAGCGTGCTCACACAATGCAGTGCAGTGCAGTAGAGCGTGTTCACACAATGCAGTGCAGTGCAGTAGAGCGTGCTCACACAATGCAGTGCAGTGCAGCAGAGCGTGCTCACACAATGCAGTGCAGTGCAGTGCAGTAGAGCGTGCTCACACAATGCAGTGCAGTGCAGTAGAGCATGCTCACACAATGCGGTGCAGTGCAGCAGAGCGTGCTCACACAATGCAGTGCAGTGCAGCAGAGCGTGCTCACACAGTGCAGTGCAGTGCAGAGCATGCTCACACAATGCAGTGCAGTGCAGCAGAGCGTGCTCACACAGTGCAGTGCAGTGCAGAGCGTGCTCACACAGTGCAGTGCAGTGCAGAGCGTGCTCACACAATGCAGTGCAGTGCAGTAGAGCGTGCTCACACAATGCAGTGCAGTGCAGCAGAGCGTGCTCACACAATGCAGTGCAGTGCAGCAGAGCGTGCTCACACAATGCAGTGCAGTGCAGTAGAGCGTGCTGTATGCAATACAGCATCATGTGATATAACAAAGTATAATGTGCTGCAACATGATACAGTATAGTGTGACATAGTCATATATTATGTGACAGCATAAGATAGCATGATATAGTATGCCAATACAGTGTCGTATAGTGTGATATAGTATAGTGTGCATTTATAATGGAGCATAACAGTATGGTATAGCATGAGACAGTCTAGCAGTATAGTGTGATACAGTGTAATAGTGCAGTGTTGTAATGCATGATACAGTATCATGTATGATACAGTCATGTGATATGACATAGTCTAACATTATCGAGCGATACAGTGCAGTAGTGCAGTGTGGTAATGCATGATACAGTAGCATGTATGATACAGTCATGTGTTATGACATAGTCTAACATTATCGAGCGATACAGTGCAGTAGTGCAGTGTGGTAATGCATGATACAGTATCATGTATGATACAGTCATGTGATATGACATAGTCTAACAGTATCGAGTGATACAGTGCAGTAGTGCAGTGTGGCAGAGCGTGAGGAGCATACATAGTACAGCACAATAAAAGACAGTGTGACATAGTGTAGGATGATCTAGTCTAACATCGTACAGTGGGATGTAAGAATACAGTGTGTACAGTGTGACACAGTTGAACGTAAATAGGATCGTATAGCTTAACATACCATGATAGAATGATCATATCATGATACTGTCTGGTATAGCACAGTATGATACAGTGTGACAGCATAGTGCAGCATGGTATAATGCTGCAGGACACGGGATAATGTCATATAGCATGATATAGTCTGACGTGAGTAGGATATAGCATGACAGTGCAGTATGCACCTTGTGATACGGTATCGTGTGATATAGGAGAGCGTAAGGCGATGCGTCGTGATAAAGTACAGTGTGACACTGCAGTGCAGTCTGAAGTAACTCAGCGTGATACAGTGCAGTGTCACATAGTGTGATACGCTGTAGCAGTACAATGTGTAGTGATATAATATGGCATGATACAGTGTAATGTAGTTTAGCATGATATTGGGCAGCAGTACAATGGCGTGTGGTGGTGATAAAACATAATGCAGCATACTTACCCTCAACAAAGATATCGGGATGACAGCAGGGATAGGACTCAGGCCTGGTCACAGCTGTTGGTGAAGCATTAGCTGCATGGCCCCAGGGCAACCCACAGCGGGTGCAGACCATGCTGCCCCACCTGTCCTTCTCTTGGCATGTCTCACGAACGCAAGCCTGCACTCTGTCGTCTTTCCTGTAGGCTGCATTTGAGAAGTGGAATGAAATCGAGGTCCACTATGGCTGGCTGGTGTCAGTGTTCCATTGCCTCATTGTTGTGTGGGGAACTGTGGGGAAGCCCTCTGCTGGGGGCAGTGCTCTCACCGTGTGCAGTTGAGGATGCTTGCCAAGTAACGATGTTGGGGTTATTCCTGTAGGTGTCTGAGTTGGCACAAACTTGGTTTTACTTGTGCCAATTCCTGGGAGTGGAATGGCTGAGTTGTGCACTGGGCTCCTGCCTCAGTCTACAGGATACTGACTTCGTCCAAGTGGCCAGTGCCCCTGATGCTCTTGTCCATGCAGGGGGAGTTGAAGCTCTGCCCCACACAGCGCTTGATGTCATTTTGCTCCTGCTGAGCAGTTGGGCAGTGCATGGTGGCATCTTGCTGGGGTTGGATTTTTGATGGGTAGTGCTGGTGCCCTGACCGTGTGTGACCACCTGGAGGTCTTCTTGGATGAGATGCCAACCCGAGCCTTTGGCCTCCTTGTAACCTGTGGGTGATTGCCCCTGGGTCCCTGCCTGTTACCTGGTGGGCATGGCTCACAGCTCACCTGCCATAACCAAGGCAAAGCTTTCAGGCTAGGTGCTAGCTTTGTACTCACTGAGCCATCCCCACTTGTCTACCTGCTCAAGACCTGAGGCTCAGCTTGTAGCCATGTATGAGGGGCGTGACCTGGTTGGAGGGTCCGGAGAGACAGGCATGCTTGCTAGCCACTTGCAGTGTCATTGTTGGGTGGGAAAACCATCGGGACTGCCCTTCTACATTGCCCCTTGTCTAACACTGTTTAGGATTGTAAGTTCCCCCAGTACATGGACTTCCGTCACCAGTTTGTCTCCGGTGGTTCTTGTGGCCGAAGAACGCTGTCTCCTCTCCCCTCGTGACCTTGGCGGCTTGCTACTCAGGTAAATCCTGAGAATAACTCGGTCCTGGGGGTCCTGGGTATGCTGTGGGTAGACCCCATTCCAGAAGCACTGGTGTAACCTTTGCTGGGGTCTGTGCTCAATGGAGTCTCTCAAAGCTTCCAACCTTTTCACTTTGATGAAGTACAGTCTATGAGATCTCTGTGGCTCATTGTCTCCATGTCCCCTTTGGTAGCCTCTGGTGGAGTCCAGCCACAGGGAGTGTTTCTGTATCTTCTTCAGGAGTTTATAGAGTTGGCTTCTGCACACAGGGGAGAGAGGCAGAGACACAGGGAGCTGAACAGGTGCCAGGCTCCCAGCCCCCAGGGACATCCATGGCTCAGCAGGTGCAGGAACCATGGCTCAGCATACACAGGGCTCCCATCTCCCATAGAGATGATCACGGTGGCTTAGCAGGTGCAGGGCTCCTGGGCTTTGTCAGGAATGGCCGTGGCTCAGCAGGTGCACCAGCTGTGAATGGCATCTCCAGATGGGAAGAACAGACTCTGTTTCTGCAGCTTTCTATGTGTAAGAGGGAGAGGTAAGCCACGCTCAGTGACCATCTCCCACTGGCCAAGTTCCACTGAGGTCCAGGCCCAGTGCACGTGCGTGGTGGTCTGCACCAGGAGACGAATGTGCAGCTCTCCAGGTGCTGGATGAGGACAGGGTCAGACAGATCCCCAACCTCATCTCTTTGAACCTCCAGGTTCCTCCATGGGCTTTGAGGCTGCCACTTGCCACGGGGTCCTATCACCCAGCTGACCCCTGACCAGTGCCCCCTGCCAGGTGCCTGGGTCCATGCACACCATGGCACACCATGGCACACCTGGCCTCTGGGACCCCATCCCTGCCTGCTCCTGCACGTGGAGAGGTGGGTCGGCCACCTCTGAGCATAAAGACCCCAGTTTGTTTTGTGCCTGTCCACCTGGGACCACATGACTCACCTGGGTCTGGAGGAGACAATGGTGTTGGAGCTGGCATCAAGGGAGTCCGGGGACCCTTTGTCCTCAGTCCCCCTCCATGTGTGCCCAAACAGCTCTCTCTGAACCACAAGGTGCTGCCCTTCCTCTTGCAGGCTCCTCCCGCCCCACAGGTGGAGGCTAAATTACCGGCCAACCTGTGCCAGGGCCCAGGGGCGGCTGCACAGCTATATAATTGGTTAAGTAGGGAGATGCTCCTCGTGCAGGTGGTCAACAGGCCTGCAAGACACAGGCTGTGAGAACATGGACCCCAGGGGCGTGTCTGACGTGGCTTGGTGGTGCTGTCAAGGCTTGAACAGGCGCCGTCCCTGCCCGACTCGGTGTCCAGCTGGAGATTGCCAGCATTGGCTACAGGTGCAGCTGCTGTCTGCTGTTTATGGGAGGATAGAGGCACATTGGGGGAAGCTCTGCCGATCAGGAAACCTGCTCCAGGAAGAGGGTGGGCGAGCTCAGGCATGGGACTCATGAGGCTGCCTGGCCACTGCAGTGGAGACCGGGAGAGGCCCCTGGCCAAATGCTCCCCTCGGGGAAGCCCTGCTGATTCCAGAGCTTTGTGGGAGCTGCCAGTGGCTGACACGATTGGCCGACTCCCAGAATTCCACAGTTGGGAGGCAGGGGAGCGGCTGGCATCCCCAGGCCACTGGAGTGCTCCCGACTGCTGGCAGTGATGGGGAGGGAGTGAAGACTCCCTCTGGGAAGAGCTCTGCTGGGTTGGAAGCCTAGAGTGCATTTCCCATCCCAAGGTGCAGAGGCCACAGTTGGCAGGGAGGGACAATCCACACGCAGGGCCACGCAAAACCAGAGCAGCAGTGCCATGTTCCTCCTCACACATTTAGCACCTTCTCCTCATTAGCGGAGCACTTGGTATGCACTTGCGTCTTGCAACATGAGGTGTGACAGCAGAACCAGCGTGAACTTGCTCTTCTCTTCCAGTTTCAGATCGGCCCTGGCTGCGTATCCTGGGAAGCTGCACCTTGTTGCTTCCGCGCTGGGTTGGTGCTGCCAGTTCCTCCTGTGGCAGCATCATGCTGTTGCCGGCCTCTCCCGTTGGCCAGCGTTTCAGCCATCAGTGCGGCTACTACATTACAGAGGATCAGCTCCGAGGGATTGAAACAGCTACAGGCAATCTGTGGGTTCCTCGTGGACGAGGGAGGGATAGCTGTGTCCTGGGGGTCGGAGCCAATGGATTGGGCTTTCCTCACCCTGCTCGGAACAGACCAGAACTGAGGACTCAGGAATTCAGCGGTGAGGACATCATTTCGGACCAGGGTGCTGGGGCTCCAGCCCCACTTCTGTCTCAGCGCCAGCTCCCGTGAGAGGCAGCAGCCGAGAGCTCTGGTGCTTAAACTCCTGCTTTCAGCAGCTGGAAGGCCTGCGGGGCTCCCGGCTAGCCTGGTCCAGTCCCGGCCACTGCAGGTGTCTGGGAAGTAAACTGGGGGGGGGGGGGTGGCGCGGAGATGGGGACTCTTCCACTGTTTCTGCGTTTTAAGTAAACAGCATTTTAACATATGAATTAGACTTTGGCTGACTACTGTCACTAAATCCAGCAATGCAAGGCGGGATGCAGAGGCCAGCCCTCCACCAGGCACCTGATGGAAAAGGGGGCTGGTTTGCACCCTGGGGGTTGCGGGGTGGCAAATGGCTTCCATGCATGAGGACGGCTGGGTGTGGGGGACCCGACAGTGGACCTTGTCCCCCCAGCTGTCAGCACACAGGACTGCACGGGGAAAGGGTCTCTGTCAAGCCACACCCCTGGATTTGTGCAAAGCTGAGAGGACTCCAGTGGAGAGGGGCATGGGCTGGGGCAAGGACAAGCCAGGGCCAGTCTGGATGGCCAAGCCTGCCCGAGCTGGGGTCTCTGGGGACCTCCCTGGGCCAGTCCTGCCACCGTGAGCTTTAGGTCTGGCCTCCCAGGCTGTATGAGGACAGATGGCTGCAGCCTTTGGCCACCACCTTTATGGTGGTTTGTCGTGCCACCCTGGGCACCGGATTGACAGGGAGTTGTGTGGGTGGAGTGCTCAGTCCCCCAGTCCACGTGCAGCTGAGTGTCCACCCTGTCATCACATCCGTTGTCAAACGGAGCCCTGGGACCCTCCCAACAGCAGCACCCTGGGCTCCAGGCACGATGGACTGCGTCCGCCAGCGTCTGGCTGGGGTGCCCAGGTGGAATGAGTAAAACACAGCAGCTGACCTCCGCAAGCCACCTCCCACCCTGTGTCCAAGGCAGGTGGGCAGGTGGCTTGGGTTCTGCGTCCCTGAGGGACCCGGGTTCCAGTTCCCCCGCCTGACAGCTTTGTTGCCACAAAGAGCACTGGAAATCGCGCGGCCGGAGAGGGCAAGTCCTAGGGGCCATGCGCTGACCTTTGCCTGCCCGGGGTGGGGCAGCAACAGCAAGAGCATCCCGCTTCTCGCGGAAGGAAACAACATAAGCCCGGGACAGCGGTGCGGGCGCGGCTGCAGGGGTAAGCTCGCCCAGTAAGTGCCCAGGCCTCTGTCGGATACGGTAAGGCCGGAGGCCCCGGAAGACCTGCGTTCACCAGCCCGGCTGCGCGGGAGCCTCCCGGGGGAGCCGGGCGCGCCGGTCCACGTGGGACACCGGCGGGCTGGGCGCACGGCCTCGGCGCCGCCCGGGTCTGCGAGCACGCGCCGGCGTGAGCGCGCGTTCGCGGCCCCGCCCCACGCGGGCAGCAGCCACGGCACGGGCCCGCGCGCCCTGACCCGACCGTCCGCCGCGGCCATCGCCACCCCGGCTGCCTCGCGGGGCGCCCACCGCAGACCCCCGAGGGGGCGGCGCGTCTCACCCGGGCGGCGCGGCTGCGGAAGCAGAGAGGACCCCCAGGACTCCGCTGGCCGCTGCGCTCAGGGCCGCGGCGCTCCCGTGCCCGGCCTCCCCGGCGCACCGACGTAGCCGAGCGGACCCTCCGCCGCCCCGGCGCCCGGGCCCGCGGCCCCCCGGCCCGGGCTCGGTGCAGGCCCCGCCCCGGCCCCGCCCCGGCCCGCCTCCACGCGCTCGCCCGGGCCGCGCCCGCCGGGCCGCCCGCGAGCTCCGAGCGCCCGGCTGGCTGGGCGCGCGGCGGCGCTGCCGGCCCTTCGGCTCCCGCGCCCGGCCCCGGCGTCGGCCATGCTCCCGAGCCCGGCCGCGGCGCGCCCCCCGGCCCCGTGATGAGGAGCGGCGCCGAGCGCAGAGGCAGCAGCGCCGCGGCGCCCCCCGGCTCGCCGCCCGCCGGCCGCGCGCGCCCCCTCGGCGCCGACGCGCCCCTCGCCCAGCCGCCGCCCGCCGCCGGCCCGCCCAGGGCCCGGGACGCCGGCGATGGCCGCGCGCAGCCGCGCCCCCTGTTCTCGTGGAGCAAGTGGAAGAAGAGGATGGGCTCGTCCATGTCGGCGGCCACGGCGCGCAGGCCGGTGTTTGACGACAAGGAGGACGGTGAGCCGGGGCTGGCCCCTGGGCGCGCCGGGCCCCCGGGGCCCCTCCACCCGTGGCGCGGAGCTGGCGGGCCGAGGCGCGAAGCCACCCGCGCTGCGGGGGCTCGGTGTTTCTATTTCCTAGCGCTCGCCCGCCCCGGGGCGTGCGAGTTGTGAAGTGGGACTCGGGTTCCACAGGTGGCGCGGGGGCGAGAGGCAGGGAGATGGATGGGTCTGGGCTCTGGGCCGCCCTGGAGGCGGGTGCGGCGTGAGGTCCCCAGGTGAAGGCTCTGGGGTGTGTCTGGGGGTGCCTCCGGGATGGTGCCGCCTAGGGTGCTGTCACAGGCGCGGGCAGACGCGCCGGGCTTCTTTCTGCAGGCCTTGCCTGTTCACATCTTAGACAGTGGACATTCGCCTTTCCCGTTGGTGGGCGTCTACCCAAGTGGGCTGGGTCTTTTTCTGTCAGGCCCCAGCTTTGTGTTTTTAGTAAATCACTTTAGCATCGCAACAGTGACAGGTGACCTCAGCCCCTGCTGGTGTCCGTGGGGCTACGGCCAGCAGTCCTCAGGGCGCTGCGGCAGCTGGGACCCTGCATACCATGCTGGGGTGTGACACTTGCATCACGCGTGTAACACACCACACGAGTAACACAGGAGTGGGAGTGAAGGAGGCACGCAGGGGCAGACTGGATCTGTGAGGTCAGCTGTGGGTGCTGGTTGCTCCCGTGTCCCGGTGCCTAGTCCGGGATGGCAGACGCCGGACCACGCGGTGCAGGGTGGCTGTGCGTGTGAAGGTGCGTGCTCCACCGTGGCCTGGGTCCCAGCTCAGGGAGCCTTCCAGGAAGGGGCGTGGCCCGGATTCTCCCTCCCGGTCTCTCCTGAGGCCCGGCACAAGGAGGTGGCGGTGCCATGCTGGGCACTGCATGGTTACTATGGCAACAACAGACCATCTGATGACTCTTTTAGATTAAAAACCTAATTACTGTTTTGCCTGTGGTTTCCGGGCAGTGAGAGGGCAGCTTAACAAAGCGCCAGGTAAATCTCCACCCTGAGCCGTGCTGTGCATTCCTTGGGACACTGTCCTTACGTAGCAGGCGTGGGGCAGGGGCACACGACAGGGCCACACACTCCTTTTCCCTTCCTCTGTGAGGAAGTCCACAGGAGGCAGGAGCTGGTTCGGGGCTTGTGGAGCTGGGCGGGGCTGGGCAGGACCCTCTGCTCCCACCTGCTGTGGTCCCGAGAGGCATGCCCAGCACCGTCCACTGAGTGCTAGCCTCTCCCAAGGGCTGTGGCCCCCATATGGGGTCGCACCTGGCTTGGGTGGGGGGGTGAGGTTTTGTGGGAGCCCTCTGCAGTGGGAGTTAGGCTTTGAGAACCCAAGGTTCTAATTTCAGGGGTGAGGAGTGGGTCTGCTTAGAAGAGAGGGTGTGGGGCTCAGTGAGCGCCTGTGCCTGGGTGCCTTCGAGGAATGCATGGCCCTTCCCTGTGGAAGCTCAGCTTCCGCTTCTTTGCCGTTTGACCCTGCTGGGCACCACGGCAGCTCTGTCAAGCATGCAAGTCGTGGTGTCTTGCCATGGAGCGTTTTCCTGTTGGCTGAATTGGCCACCCTCATTCCTAACTGGGCCTGTGTGTGACACTCGATGGACGCTGGCCCCTGCCCCAGGAACTACAGTTGATGCAGAGTAGTGGGGAGCGGTGGACTCAGGCACCAGCTGGGTGTCTGTCCCCCACAAGGTGGACCTTCCCTACCTCCTGGTGATGGACGCGAAGGTTTCTGCATTTGTCTCCGAGCTGCTGGTGCGGATGTGTCTGCACCTGGCGTTCTTGCACAGGCTGCACCTTGGGACTGGTGCTGGCCAGGCGGAGGACTCCTTGGGAGATGTGCAGAGTACAAAGCAGCCCCTGCCCCATGCACTGGGTGTGCAGTGGTGTCCACCCACGCCGGGGCACCAGACGTGGGGCCGTTGGGTTCAGTGAATGGAGTCGTTAGCAGGGGTAGGCCGCTGGGCTCGCTTTCTGAGTCCTCACTCCTGTGTGCCCTGGAAAAGATGGCATGGGTGCTGTGCCATTTCTTCGGCTACAAACGAGATTAGAGCCATTTTGCACAGTTGCTTTTTGCGTTTTCCCACTCCCTCCATCCTGGCCGTCATTTCCCTCCCCTCTCACTCCCCTCTTCACATGTAAGGCGTACTCTTTCACAGCCTCTCACTGGTTTGCCATTTAGCCTTTGTCGCTGCGGCTTAGTTGTTGGTGCAGTTGTGTGTGATTTCTGTGTGGTCAGCTTCATCCACACCTGCCTGGGGAGTCCTCCTGGAGCAGTGGGCACGTACTCCCTCTCGGTGGTCTGTGGGTCTGCTTTGTACCTGAAACATGGCAGTCCTTTGGCCACAGCATGTGACTGATCCTGGCTGAGCATGGTGTGGGCATTTGAGTTTGAGCCCCATCTCGGTTGCAGTTAATGCTATCAGCCCCCGACGGCAGGCCAGTGTCCCCACTCTGTGTCTGGACTCCTCCTGGCTCATGGCTCCCAGCCACTTCTGAGGCCTTTTGTGTGGCCCTGGCCTCTCCCATGATGGCCCAGACCTGCTGTTTCCTCGTGCCGCCACCCAGAGCACATAGAGCTGAGTGACGGTGCCCCGTTTGAGGGACGCATCAGGAGTGCGCTTGAATTTCAATCGATGCCTTTGTCCTTGCTGCCTGACCTGGGGGAGGGTGCCGAGGGTGGAGGTGGGATTGCTTCGTGCCCCTCCCCGTCCACATGGGGACTGTGGTGGCCGTAGTTGCCCAGGACCTGCGCCAGCTGGTGGATACTGGTTGCAGCAATGACCCCGGGAGTCTGGGAGCCTGGGAGCCTGGGATCTGTGTGTATGAGAGTTGAGGGGGCGTGTAATCCCAGCCCACCCTACAGCTTTGCTCTCATGCTTCCTGGACCTGCAGGTTCCAGGCGGGCACCTGCATCCCAGGTGGGCCTTCAGGCAGCCATGGAGCTGGACACAGCATCTCCCGCCCCCGCCCGACAAGGCGGCTTTGGGACGGACTTGCGACCAACTGTGGGACTTTTTTATGTAACAAATGTCAGCTCCGCGTGTCTACCCATCTGGTTGTGCATTTTACAATGCTAAAAATAAACTGGCTTTTCTTTTAAAAATTTAACCACCCAGCTTTCTGGTTGAGAAGTAAATGGAAAAAGGCATGAGAGGCAGTTTTTGCTGGGCACAGTTCTTCTCGGAGCAAACAAGGAACTCCAGGGCAGTCAGAGGCGGCCAAGCCTTGAAAGGTTGTCAGGACAGCTCTGACCAGCTCCTCACACAGGAACAGCTCCCAGGTCGGCAGAGGCCTGGGACTCTGCAATTCAGACCCTGCTGGTCCTGGGATACTGTTTGAACAGCAGGGATCCAGTGGTGGACAGTGGGGCCTGTGGTTAAACACGGCCAAGATCCCAGCCACCCCAAGGGACTGCCCCCTCCCCAGCCTAGATGAGCCCAAGCCAGCTGCTCCTGGCTGGGCCCGTGGGAAGCCCTTCCTTGCTGTCTGACCCACCTGGCACTTGTTTCAAAGTTGCCAGTGAGTAGCCAGAACTGAGACACTGTAGCCTGTGGTGTGTCCTCTGCTTTGCTCTGTCTCAGGCAGCTGTGTCACCAGGGTTAGTGTGCTGTTCTGGACATTGTGCCTGCACCTGCTCCTGGAAGTTACACCCAGCTTTGTCTGACTCCAGTGCAGATATGGGGATGCCAGTGGACAAGGGTGGCTGAGTCCTTCTGTTGTAGAACTGTGGGTAGGACTGGCCTGTCCTGTCCCGGCTGTGGCCCACCCAGCCCCACTGTGGTTCACCTTGCCCTGCCCCACTGTGGTCTGCCCTGCCTGGCCATTGTCTGTCCTGCCCTGCCCCATTGTGGTCCACCTTGCCTCACTGTGGCCCACCTTGCCCTGCCCCGCCAAGCTCCGCCCTGCCCTGAGCTGCAGTGCCCCACCCTGCCCCACCTGTGGTCCACTTTGCCCTGATGTTGCCTTGTCCCATCCTCCCTAGAAAGCTCATGGCTGAGTGTAGGCCACTGCTGAAATGCGTGTCCCACTGCTGCTCTTGGGGACAGTCAAGTGCAAGGGCCTGGGCTGGTCCTCCTGGCCCCTGCCTGCCTGGTGCCCATGCCTGGAGCCCCCTGGACACACCTCCTGCCAGGATGACCACCGGCCTAGATGTGACCCCTGGATGGTCACAAGCCCAGCCACCCCTTTCCCAAACACAGCCTGGCCCAGCCTGCTGGACAATCATGGTTGTGGTCTGGGACAAATTGGGAGAATTATTGTAATTAATACAATCAAGGTTATTTTTAAAAAGCTGTTTCATCCAGAAACAACTTAACTGTGGACTTGAATTTGTTATTTTAAAAGCCAAAGCAAGCACAGAGATCTCAGATGTCTGCCCTGGCCCCCTCGTGCCTTGTCTCCCTGGCCACCCCGGGAGTCTTGACCCATCTTTGCTGGCTGCTGCACATGTGGAAACCCAGCATGCTATTGGTTAAGTTCTGGAGCCAAGGAGGCAGCGTGGGGGGAGCTGGTGTTGCCTCCAGCTTATTAAAAATAGGAGCCCCGCACTTTCCCCAGCTCCGGTGCGGGCCCCTCAGCTCAGAGCACGTGGGGATAGCTGTGATGGCAGTGAGGCTCACGCCTCCCAGTGGAGGAGGCTGTGCTTGGGGCCCACTGTGCCTCGCGTGGGTGCCATAGCAAGGCTGGCGATTCCTGGTACTTGTGTCTACTCTAGGCTTGGAGTCAGTGCCAGGGGTCCATAGCTGGGGAGGGGCCTGGCCCCCTGTGCTGAGGTGGCTGCTGGGAGGGGCAGTGCTCAGTCATGGGGTCCTGTAGGGGGAAGGGTGCAGGGTGGCTGTGGGTGAATCGCACTGTGCAAGGTGTGGGGTGGCCCTGGGGGCATCGCATGTGTGCAGGGTGTGGGGTGGCCCTGGGGGCATCGCATGTGTGCAGGGTGTGGGGTGGCCATGGGGGCATCGCATGTGTGCAGGGTGTCGGG